CACACACATAAATCCAACCAGCTAGCCAACCAATCCTCCTTCTCTCCATTTTCTACATACATTTAAACAAGCTTGATGAAGCTGTCGGTCTCTTGCACCTTCCTTCCCTCGTTAACTGGAGCCTTTCCCTCCTCCTGCTTGCTTGCAGTCATATCCAGGGGAAGCAGTCATTCACAAGCCGGATTGACTGACTGCCCGGGGCTATTCTACAGCTGTAACCAATCAAGCAGGCTTATCTCCGATCTCTGAAAGAACGGATTTACAAGTGCCCTGCCACAACCAAGGACGTAACAGGGAGAGGTGGCTTACAATTTGAGGTTTGGCTTCAGGGGGTGGGGGTGGGGGATAGCGTTCTGCTCATTACCCCCAGGATTTTCACTTTTATCCCATTTAGGGTAATTTACCCCTGTTCCCCGACCTATGGGCTAGACAGACAAATACAGGGGTGTCTTGACTTATGAACATCCCGACTTATGACCATATTCAGTTACAATCAGCTCTGGCTGCAAAATTTTGCTTCGACTTCCAGTGGAGTTTTGAGTTACAACCAGAAAAAGGCAGGGAAAAAGTCACTGAATTCAAATTGCTAACCATTGGTAGGCGAAGAGGCTGCTTCTTTGTAGCTCTTTCAGCACAGCGGTTAGAGAGTGTGCAATCAGAGGAGGTCTCGGACTGCCTGGTAAGGTAAGCTGCTGCTTTCTGCTTTTTAAAAACTGTTCTGGGTGGATTTTGCAGCGTCGTTTTGGGCTTGGGGGTGGGATTATGTTTCTATGCTGTGATGGGCTTTGCAGGGTTTGCTTTCTTTGGGGGGGGTTCCCTTTTCCAATGGGTCTTGCAAGGTTTGTTTGGTTTTGGGGTTCCCCCCCTTTCCGATGTGTCTTGGGGGTTTGTTTGCTTTTTGATTTATTTTTCCCCAATTTCCAATGGGTCTTGCATGGTTTGTTTGCTTTTCGGGTTTTCCCCCCATTTCTGATGGGTCCTGCGGGGTTTGTTTGCTTTTTGTCCCCCCTCCCATTTTCAAAGGGTCTTGCACGGTTTGTTTGCTTTTTGGGTCCCCCCCCCATTTCCGATGGGTTTTATGGGGCTTGTTTGCTTTTTTTGCATTTTCAAAGGGTTTTGCGGGGTTTGTTTGCTTTCTGCTTTGCTGGAGTTCTGGAATCAATTAAGTTTGTAAGTCGAGGCACCACTGAGTATGACATGATAGCACAGATAAGTATTATAGGCCAAATTAGGGCCACCAATCAGATCATGCAGCCTGCAGAGCCTCAGTACGATGCCCCTCTCCTGTTCCAGCCAGCATTTATTCCTTCAAAAGAATAGGATGGGTCAGTGAACAAGCTCCAGTTTATTCTGTTCTATTTCAGCTTGCCCACATGGGAAAAATAGGAGGAAGCCTGAACATAAGGATCACACAACCCCCATTACAGCAACTCCACTATAAAGGCCTAAATGGCTTGGGCCCAAGCTACTTCGAGAACTGCATATCCCTTTATGAGACTGCTGGACTATTAAGATCATTATGAGAGGCCTTCCTCTCAGTCCTGCCACCTTCACAGGTGTGTTTGATGGGGACATGGGAGACAGCCTTGTCTAGTGCTGTTCCCAGACTCTGGAACTTCTTCCCATATGAGGCTAGACTGGCCCCATCTATATTGTCCTTCCACAAGAAGACAATGACATTTGGAAAACTCCCAGCTGGTATTTTGGCAAGAATTCCGATGATATCAAAAGGCATGGCATCAGCCTTGACATAATCTGTTGTGCAGTTCATACTATTTACTGAATGTATAGAAGGTGAGCAAGATAGTTTATTAAAATTAAAAAAAATTAAAATTAAAAAAAATTTAAAAATTAAAAAAAAGATATTTGACTGCAAGTGATATTTGGCTACAATCAGTAAACCAATCCTTTGTCATCTATTTCTCATCATTTTAATGGTTTTATTTATATCAGGTCATCCCACATGGAGTTCCATACAGTAGGAAGAACTGCTACTCCTGGAATTTTCTTTTCTTTTTGCCATATGTTGAAAATAACTGGCCATTTTACAAAAAGGTGTTTCCCGAGAGCTGCCTATCTTTCCTGACTCTTATCCAGAAAAGGAACAAACATTTTTCAGTGTTTGAGGGTAATAAGTCAGCTGCACATTAAAAACATATCATTCAATAAGAGCAAACCAAGGCTTTTTGCATGTATTACTCACAGAGCACGAGCTTCAGGTATGCCCTAATAAGAGTGGAATATTTCTACAATGCAACATAGTATAAGATAGGATTAACAATGCTACATAGTATAAGATAGGATCATTTACTAACACTAATCAAAACATTTGTAAAATACAGTACTGTTCTACAAAAATTTATTTTACAAAATCTCATGAAGCTTTTGTGATTGCTAGAAAGAAGGCTGGACTCCTTGAAACAAAAGATCTGCTGGATCTTGTACTTAGACTACATAAAACATGCATAGGAAAGGGGTTCCCCTCCCCGAAACTCCAACACATAAAGCTTAGTTGACAGAGTACACTCTACTGCTGGGGAGATCTGGTTCAGAATTTGTTATTAGACTCAGTGCATGATCATAAATTAATAATAATCTCCTAGTCTGACTTTATTGGTCATTGCAAGGACAAAAGTACTTATAAATTAATAATAATCTCCTAGTCTGACTGTATTGGTCACTGCAAGGACAAAAGTGGAGAGCTACACATCATGTACATTGCTCCCCATATAGTAAGCACTAGATAAAAACAGAATAGGATGTTCTGAAAGTTAAATGCTTACATGCCACCATTTTCATAAGTGAACCCTGGTTCAGCCTATGAACCTTTTCTCACCTGCACATGCTGCCCAAAAAGCTGCATCTCCTGGATTTCTTCCTGTCACAGCTGTTAAAAGACACAGGCTGCAGTCAGAAACCTGGAAAGGTGCATATCTGATCATTCCAGAAAGTGCTGCTTTGCAGAAAACATCCTTCTTAAAGTGACCCTTCAATTTGCCAGGAAATCGCTCCAGGTCGGCCTCAAAAGTAGGAGCTCTATAGCTGGACCTTTTGGGGCACAAATCAGGGTTGGGGTGGAGAACATCCTTCTTAAAGTGACCCTTCAATTTGCCAGGAAATCGCTCCAGGTCGGCCTCAAAAGTAGCAGCTCTATAGCTGGTCCTTCTGGGGCACAAATCAGGGTTGGGGTGGAGACTACAGTATTTCCCTGTACACTGTCAACAAATTGTACTGAATGGCTCCACAAGAGGTTCAAAATATAATCTATTTCCCCATGGGATCACACCTATAATGAGGACAAGACAGAAATCTTGGATATAACAGTCTGAAGGAACTGTGCTCTTTTTTTCTACTTGGTACAGTTGGGTCTTGACTTGAGAACTTAATCCGTATTGGAAGGCGGTTCTCAAGGCAAAAAGTCTGTAAGGCAAGTATACATGAAATCTTGGATATAATAGTGGGAAGGAACTGTGCTCTTTTTTACTTGATATCTTAAACTAGTGGTTCTTAACCTTTGTTACTCAGATGCTTTTGGACTGCAACTCCCAGAAACCCCAGTCAGCACAGCAGGTGGTGAAGGCTTCTGGGAGTTGCAGTCCAAAACTCCTGAGTAACCCAAGGTTAAGAACCAGTGTCTTAAACCATAACATATTCCTGAAATCTAAGCAATCTTTGGTTTATGTCATATTACAGTACATTTCCCCTTCCATTTTCAAAGCCACTACAAACTTTGGGGTGGGATGTTTCTCTTATTACAGAATTCCACAAGGAAACCATGGTATGGAACTCTTAAAATGTTAAGGAAATATTCTTAATATTGCATTTTAAGAGCCTAATCTGTAAAGAAGGATTTAAATCTTTCCCTATGCTGTATCCCAATCCAGAATCTGAGCTCAGTGAACAAACAGACACATATTTAAAGAATCTGGCCCTTTTTTGCTGTGATTACTACAGCAGTATTGGTCAGTCAGCTCACCACTTAACAATTTAAACTATTTATACCTCAGTTAAGTAGGCAAATTAAAAATCATTCTTGACATAAAAACAGTGAATGGCGCTTTTTTTGTCAGAAAAGATGTGCTCTTATTTGACAGGGTGAAATATCTCCAGCTGTTATTCCTATTGAGTGCAACATTATTTATAACAAATATAGTATGTTTCTCCTCCTCTCTATATAGAGAAAATTTAAAAAAATAATCAAACAGAATGCTATTACAGTAATTTTCTTTTTCACATGGAAAGCTAGGTTGAACTCCCCAACCAACTATGAAATTCGTTCTCAGCCTGACATATCGATGCTGTGAAAATAAATTGTAGACGATAATCACGTACAGGGGTTTGACAGCAAAGGTGAGTTACACATGTACAACAACAACACAATATCAGGAGCTGTTTCCTGAGATATGGCAGTCACGGGAGAGGGTGAACATCGCCCAGTGAACAAATTTTCCCCAAGCTATAATCACAAGGCAAAAGTACAGCAACAAAACCCAACGCGTGACACCGCCGGCGGTGGGGTGCCGCCATCAGAGCCTCGGGGAAAACAAACCCCGACGTCCTCTCCAACCCATCTTCCACTCAGAATGCCAGCCGCAAAATGGCGGCAGATCACGCCATCGTCAAACCCTCCTATAGCTATACTAAGCCGGCGCGGGGCCGTTGCTAAGCAACTTGGTCGGGCGGAAGAAGAGGGGGAGGGCGCTGCGTCCTGACGTTGTCGCGTCATTAGCGGAAGCTCTGGCAGTGGATCAGAGCTGATATTGCCTCTCGCTCCAAGGTGGCAGGTATGGGTGGGTTTAAAGGTCGGGGTCAGAGGTAACCCTTTTTCTTTTGCAAAGCGGGGGCGACGAGGAGGCTAATAGGGGCATGTGCAGTGCATTGTGGGAATCGGGGCCCTGTCTGACCAGACAGGCCAGAGGTACATGCGTATTCGTCTGAGAGTGGAGTGTGACCCCCCCCCCCTTGTTCTGCTTTATAAAAGGCTGGTATGGGTTTGACAACCATTCTTTTCGTTCTTAATGGGTACAAGTCAGGTTGTGTGTGTGTGTCCAGAGCCTGGCTTTTGTGGGGAGGCGAAAGCAAGAGGCTTTGTCTCAGGTGAGGTGACTGCGAGAATGGGGTTAGGATGTGACCTCTCCGTGTTAGTGAATTAGATTACATTGGGTGCTGCTTGAATTACTGTATATCTGAAAGGAAAAATGCTTGGACGGCGTCTGTGACAAACGGGGGAATTTCGAAGGCAGGAGGGTGTTTTGGGTCTACCTACCAGGTATTGTTGTGAGCGAGGGACGTTGCATATGTGCCTGAAAGGATGGCAGGGTGGTTTGGGCAAGAAGGTCGTCTATTAATGGAGAGGCATTTGTTTGCTTTTTGTGAGTGAAGCAAAATATGTTTTCCTTTATTTATTAACTCTGCTTCCCTGAGTGTATAATCGACTGTCCTTGCATAGTTTGGGAGGGAATAGCAGCCTCTATGAAAATGCAGCTGTTTTTCATAGTTAAATAGATGATAATGAAATTCATTTCCTGGTTGCATTGTGGGTGAAGTGATAAGAACACATGGCTTTGATAAGTTAAGGGAAGGGTGGGTGGGTGTCTTACTGAAGGGGTGTATCTTCTTTCCTTGCTTGAAGCATTCTGCAAGGGAAAGGTGATATAATTTAGTGGGTGTTGGGGGAGCAGAGAAATACACAGGATGAAGAGCAGATTCTTGCCTCAGGTATCTTCTGGGTACCGGATAAGGATGAGCCTTTGAATTGGGTGTTGTTCTGTAGAGAATACTATGTAACGTAAATAATCATCTTTTGCAGTTCTAGAAAATTCATGAGAATGTTTAGTTGATTAGCTTAAGGTCTAATCTTGATGATGCTCTGATGTCCTTGAAATACTCCCATATCTAGTTGACAGGACTGTAAGGATAGGCTGATAGTGTTCCTCTTTACTACCTTCTCTGTTACAGCTCTCAGACTCTGGAATTCCCTCCCTCACAAAGCCAAGCTGGCCCCATCTTTGCTGTCCTTCTGTAAGCAGGCAAAGACCATTCTCTTCAAGCAAGCTTTTCCTTAGTGACTTACTAAGCTTGGGGGTGTTCCTGGATTTAGCCCTGAGCCTGGATGCCAAGATTTAGGTGGTGGTCAGGAGTGCCTTTGCACGGTTAAAGATAATGCACCATCTGCAACCATTTCTTTAGAGGTCTGATTTGGCCATGATGACACACACCCTAGTTATACCTCAGCTGGATTATTGTAATACTGTACACTCTACATGGGGCTACCTTTGGAAAGTGTTTGGAAATTCTAGAGAGTCCCAAATGCTGTAACCAGATTGCTAACTGGGGTTGGTTACAGGGAGCATATGACTTCCCTGTTGCAGCAGCTTCACTGATTTGCCAGTCCATTTCTGGGCACAATTCAAAGTACTGGTTTTAACCTTTATACCCTAAACAACTTGGGTCCAAACTATCTCTAAAAGACCCCATATTGTTCTATGAGCTTGTCCAAGTGTTAAGATCATCAGGGGAGGCTTTTTTCTCAGTCCCATCACTTTCACATGTATGCTGGGTGGGGACACAAGAGAGGGCCTTCTTTGTTGCTGCTCCCAGGCTCCAAAACTCCTTCACATGGGAAGTTAGGCTCTGTTGCTGCTCCCAGGCTCTGAAACTCCTTCACATGGGAAGTTAGGCTGGCCTCATCTTTGTTATCCTTCCATAAGCAGGCAAAGACCTTTCTCTTCAGATAGGCTTTTCCTTAATGGCTCGTGGTCTGAGAGGGTTTTTTAAATGGACTGTTGTGCTCTCTTTTGGGTGTGTTTTAGTATTGATTTTATTTACCATTTTTAATGTTTAATTCTTTTTAATATTTGTATACTTCCTGTTTTAACTTTTAAATATTGTCTTTTTGATATAAGCCACCTTGGTTTATTTTTAAGGAGAGAGTTGGCATTAAAATATTTTAAATACTGTAAATAAATAAATACTACCTCAGTGTGGTTTTTAAAATGGTTTGTTGTACTTTTCAGCTTGGAATGTATTTTTGTGTTGATTTCGTTTATTGTTTTTAGAGTGGTGTGTGTTTGACCTTTTCAGTATTGTTTTTTCTATCACTGTTGGTAACTTTACATTCTGCCTCTTAATGTTGGAAGCTGTCTTGGGTCCTTTTTAACAGAAAAAGTGGGGTAAAATATTTTAAACAAATAATTTTATTGAAAGTTCCTGCTCTTGATTTCTCTTAGCATACTGTATAGTTTATAGGGAGGGGGGAGATGCAGGGACATGTGTGACTTTCAAATTATCTGCTGCTGTCCATCCGTAGGTTCTGCTTTCTGTGTATCATTTTCATTTCATTCTGCTGAAACATTGTGGTGTTTTTATATATTTAGATACAGATTTTGATCGGAAGATAATTATTTCGATATAGTGTCTGAAATGTTAGCTAAGCAAATACTTTGAATGGCTGCATGTACTGTTCTGTAGGTTATCTAGGGAGAAATAATCCATTTCCTTCATTGATGTATTAAATGGGTCAGAAAAACTGTATATAAATACCTTAAATAAGTAAACAAATAAGAATATTGAAAGTAGAAATAAGACAAAATAAATTTATCAGATCTCTAGTGTTAGGATAGGATGCTTACCAGAAAAGCCTCACGCCTTAAAAGATTTTTTTAAACCTGGATTTTAATGTCATTGTGGGTTTAAATGTTTTTGAGCCCTGGATAAACCCTTCACCTTCTTCTTTGGCTTTTCTAAAGTCTGCTGTTAATGCATTTACTTTTGCTAGTATGATTAGGGAAATCACAAAACCAAGACTTATGTTTCACTGGATAGTTCTTGTTGCATCTGGATGAGTGGGCATTCTATAGGGAAAAAATGAATTCAGAGTTCTTGTGTAGTCAACCAAATCTGCTGCAGAGCTATGTGACAGTAATGTTCTTCTCTCATTCTTTTTATCAGCTGATAGGCCGCTAGCTGTGTTTATAGGACAGCAGCCAGCAGAGATGGTTAGGTGCCCATGTGATGGGAAGCTGCTTGTAAAGCTTTCGGCCTAGAGCTGAGAGGCAGATTTCAGAAGTGATGGTGTTTTCTGATATCTGATCAACTGTGTAGTAAGACGCAGTTATGTGTGCCACATATATGGTTCTTGAAATGGTTCTGCCGTCACAGATGTCATGAATGCATATGAGCAGCCTTATAATAATCTGTGATTAGAGAAGTTGTAGATATATCCACAGACTTGACATATAGACATGCTTTTCCCTTTATAGTTACGACATAATCTTTTGCTGGTAAAACCATTACAGATGTTGGAACCCTTTTTCTAATGATAGTGATCTGATGTGTTCTGAGCTTGTAATACTTTGTATAATCTATGATTAAAGAAGTTGTAGATGTGTGGGGTATCAACAGATGTCCTATATAGGCAGTTTTTTTCCCTTTACAGTTATAAAATAATTTTTCACAGGTAAAACCATTATAGCAATTGGAACACTTTTTTGGTAGCGCGGTGTTTTCCCGAAAATAAGACAGGGTCTTCTATTAATTTTTGCTCCATAAAACGCATTAGGGCTTCTTTTCAGGGGATGGTTTATTTTTTTCATGTACAACAATCTACATTTATTCAAATAGAGGAATGTTAACTTCTTCTGGATGCCGCACAATAATAGAGGATGGGGTTTCACTTAACTGGGGCTTATTTTGGGGGTGGGGCTTATATTGCGAGCATCCTGAAAAATCATACTAGGGCTTATTTTCAGGTTAGGTCTTATTTTTGGGGAAACAGGGTAACAATCTGATGTGTTCTGATCTTGGTTCTTAATCACCTTGTAAGACTTGACAGTATCAGTCTATGTTCCTGATACTATCAGGAAAGGGAGGAGGGCATAAGTGAACCTATATCATATGCCTCTTTTTGAAGAGTCTCTCCTTTTTACTTTAAGGCATAAGAAGATTCTCACCCTAATTTAGCTGGCTGTTCTCTTTCACTATGGGGGAGCTCTTCCGGAGTGAAGAAATGACCCTTGCCCAGCTTTTTCTTCAGTCTGAAGCAGCATATTGCTGTGTCAGTGAATTGGGAGAACTTGGAAAGGTCCAGTTTCGAGATGTACGTGCCTTCTTCTGTTTATCAGTACTGTACAATGCTGTGACAATTATGTTCAAAAGAAAGTGGATTTCCTTGTGATGCAATTGAAAATCCTCTTAATGCTAAATGTTGTTTTTAGTCATGACTCTGGCATATACTGGTGCTAAATGTTGTTTTTAGTCATGACTCTGCTATATACTGGATAAAGCAAAGCAAAGCATGCTGCTTATATATCGTCCCATAGCGCTTCAAGCACTCTCTGGGCAGTTTACAAGTTAATTATGCAGGCTACATATTGCCTGTTGCTTACTTTCCCTTTTCCATTAACTTTCCATGTGACTGAAGCAGTTTAGCTAATGATAAAAAGAGAGGCAACAACTATCTTTCAATATTTTCCTGCATATATCTGTATGTTATAATAATTATGCATTTTTATTTGCAGCTAAACCCAGATGTGAATGTGTTCCAGCGTAAATTTGTTAATGAAGTCCGAAGGTGTGAAGAAATGGACAGGAAACTCAGTATGTCTTTTGTTGTTGTTTTTGCATAAATATATAAGACTAAATCAGCTTGTGCCTCATTTAAATCTCTCTCCAGTTCTCTTTCTCTGTGGTAGATAATGTACTACATACCATTCCTATGTAAAAGTAGAATATAATCCCATCCATATGGCAGTTAACTGCACAGTTGGTAGACAATATAGAAATAAAAATAGATTTCAACCATGACTTGTGAATGTTTGGGAAGCCATTGTGAAAAAACTGAGCCAGGTTTCAGAAATGTGATTCACATCTGAAGAAAATCTCATGAAACTGCATGGAGCTTATGCAGTATTCCCCTTTTTCATGTATGCTAAACTTGTTAATTGTATTTTCTGCTTTTAAAATACGAGAAGATACCCGATAATGGAGATTTGTACAGCGATTGGAGTAGCAAGGCAGCAAAGACTCAGTTGTTGGATTTGGAAATATTTGGCATCCTTGTGTTTTCTTGCTGTATCCTTTATATCCTTCATGTTCCTTCATAACTTTTTTTCTGTTCAGGGTTTGTGGAAAAAGAAATTAAAAAGGCCAATATTCCTATCACAGACACTGGTGAGAATCCAGAGGTACCATTTCCCCGTGACATGATTGATTTGGAGGTAAAAAGCCCTATGGTTCAGGTTATGTTTTTTTTGCTGTACATTTGGGTATGAAGTGTGAAGAAGTGTCTTGGGGAGGAAGTTGTTCGGAAAAAATGGCTTCTGAAAAGTCTTACAGCACAGTCTGATGCACTTGAACTTCTCAAGTTCTTTTTCATACAGCCTTAATCTATGTTAATAGTATGTGCTCATGAAAATACTTGTATTCTGAATTTCTATTAAACAATACCTATGGCTTACAGAACATGAATAGACAATGCAACAATTTATTAAAACACAGCTGTAATAAATTTTAATGGACAGTTAAAAATAGCATAACATAATGTTAAAAACCTTAACTTCATAAAGCAAAGACCTTGAGACTCTGATGAGCCTGAACAGCCTTGCTCAATCTGGTATCATTCCAATAAGAACATAAGAAGAGTCCTGCTGGATCAGGCCAAGGGCCCATCTAGTCCAGCTTCCTGTATCTCACGGTGGCCCCACCAGATGCCTCTGGGAGCACACAAGACAACTAGATACCTGTCTCCTGATACCACTCCTCTGCATCTGGCATTTTAAGGTTCTAGTCCAATATATTGGACTAGAACATAGCTGTGGTGCACTGTATCATTATAGTTTAGATTTGAGGAAAGCTGATGTAAGTGCATGGAGAGGCATGGCAGATAGCATTTGGAGAAAAAAAAGCAAGATTTCTTGAAATCTCTGCAGGTAGTTTTGAAACATCTGGTAGACTAATAAAAGGGAAATTGGAATACATCCACTAATTACTAATTAGTTAGTATAACCACCACCACCGGTACAAAGGGCATCTTTTGCAATAGAATTTATTATTATTGCTCTTTAATATAAAGTCTGTAGTATGCTGCAGCATGTGTGTTATTTTTTAATGATGTTTGAGGGGTCAATTTGTTGAGAATAGGCATCTTTCAGGGATTTTGACTTTCTTTTTTAAAAAACAATCTTTTTTTCTCTTCAGGCAAACTTTGAAAAGATTGAAAATGAGCTGAAAGAGATCAACACCAACCAGGAAGCCCTGAAAAGGAACTTCTTAGAGCTGACAGAATTAAAATTCATATTGCGCAAAACTCAGCAGTTTTTTGATGAGGTCAGAATATCGGATATTTTTGCCTTTTGTGCAGCTGGGCCAGCCCATCACACCACTTTCCTTCTTGAGAATGCTTGATTAAGTTGCATTTTTGAACAGAAGTGTCTCTTTGATTTTGAGAAGTTTTTGCAAATTGATTTCCATCATTCATGCAAATGTGAAAGGTAGCTACCCTGTCAGTTTCTGATAGTTGAAAGTTCCTAGTTTAGGTAAGAAGGTCAAAATACGTCAAAGTGGTATATGAATATGTAGTCATGTAGAGTTTTTATAAGGGTCCTGCTGCAGAGGATGCTGATAGCTTTGGAATGCTGAGCTGGAACTATTCCAGTTTTAGTTGCTGGGATAAAATTTTCAGTTATCCAGAAGATCAAATGCTTGAGGCACATCTAGCCTTGTTTCTTGTAGCTCATCAGGAAATAAGATATTGTGTATACTGTATTTGTGAAATGCACCGTATTCTCTTTTTATAGAGCAGTGTTAAGCAAAACAGTGAAAGGTTGCATAATTTGCTCTGTGTACCTCTTCTCTGGGTGTCAAGCCCCAGTGACCCTTGGACTTTGATGCTCTGGGGTACATGGTCTCCAAATTTTTAAGTATCCCATTGTTGCTTGCTTTGAGCTCTTTCAGTCCTGTTTGATTTTCAGAAATGGCAACAATGAAAATAGAGGAATGTAAACTGGATCAGCAAGTATTTCTAAGATACTGTATCATTAAGTGAATATGTTACAAGCAAAATGGATGCTTCTTCTATCTGAAATGTTCTTGCTTTTGCTATGTCAGCGCTCCAGTTGGTTTGTGGATAATAGTATGGTGAATCGGTCTAGGCGCTTGGTCTTCAAGTGTTGGGTATCATTCTGCAGTCTCTAAACTTTGAACTCTGCAGCTGTCACCGTCAAAAGTAACTTCAGTTCTTATTAATCACTAAAAATTACAAATAAATGACCTTATTGGAGAATTCAAAAGCAAGCCTTATGATATGCCAATTTTTAAATGCAAGATACCTTTCTGGATGGTGAAATATTCTATCACATGTACCTTGCCTTGTTTACAATGGATTAGACCTCAGTTGCTCTTTAGCTTCACAGTCTAAATAGTGGGCAGTAGTACTCACTGAAAGAAATATTTGCCTTTATGAAGTCTTTAATGTTTTCAGTTCTTGGAGCCCTCTGAGCAACTGTTTAAATTAACCAGATCAGTGTGAATGCTACACACAGTGCAACTTTCCACTGAAATGTAGCTTCCATGGAGTCATGAGTTGTTTCATGTTTATTCTTTGAACAGTTTCATATAAACAGATGATGCTTTTGTCAGTGATCCAAATTTAGGGAGTGGTATAACCTAGCTTTTGCTTCATCTCCCATTTATTTATTATTTTTGCCACAGGGAGGTTTGCAGCTATATTCAGTGTTTGAAGACTGTAAATTTGGGGGGGAAAGCTTGTGAAATATTGGTATTTTTACAGCAAGAAATGGTATGCAAGTCTTTGATTGTAGACTTCTCAATCAAGAGAGAATTGGGGCTTATAGAAGAAGTACATTTTTGTACTGTAACCATTTCTTGCTCATGAAAAAGAATACAGTGATTTTGAGTCTATTAACTGGTGATCCTTTTCTTGGTCTTCATATTTCTACTTTAAGAACAGTAAGAGTTGGAGAAATATCTCTGAGTCTAGTAGTCCAAAGTAGACTGGAAGAAGACTGGAAAAGTAATGGTTAATGGCATGCAGTTCCCATCTCTATCCTCTTATTTCTTTCTTTTCTTTCTCCATCTGTAATCCTTAGTTCTCATTCTGCATCTCTCTTTTCTTGGTGGTCCTTGCTGCAGGTGTTGGATACTGTGGAAAGTGTTTTCTCTTAGAAATTGTCGTTTGCTGGAAGGCTACATGTGTGTATTAGAAGGATCTTGAGTTGTATCTGCTGTGCAAATTCTCAATATGGGGATACTTTGTTCATGATCCTTTTTTCAAGGAATGGGGTTTTGAAGATGCTGGGTATGTGTGTCATAGGTTCACCATCGCTGGAATATGCAATAGTTCTTGAAGAGGATTAGCATCACCATGACTTACAGGCATCAGCATTTTTGAGGATACGACTTGTCTTCCTCAACAATGAACAAACTTAGAAGTGTGCCATAGGTAATCGGACTGCATCTCTAGAGATGTCAAGTTTAGAAAAGGCATGTGTTGCCCTGCCATGTGTCGCTTTCAGAGATTTTTCTTTCCTTCCATGCGATGCAACATTAAAGCCTTCACATGGCAACATGTTAATGCTCCTCCTAGTACTATTATTCTACTACTGACAGTTTTTGTATTTGCAATACAACTCAAGATTCTTTAAAATAAGTCTTTTGTCCTCTGCATCTGTATGTGTGTATCTGTGTTGGAATAATTGTTTTGGAGTAAAATGGCATTTTTATTTTTTATTTTTTGCATTCTGTGTTGTTGCTTCTTGTTGAGACCAGAAATGATGGTGAATTTCAGTGTGGTTGAAGGCAAGGTATAAGTTGAGAGATTTAGAACAGGGCAAAGTGAGCTTAAAGGCAGGAACAGGTTGAATTAAGAGAGAAGGATATTATAAGAAATTAATAAATGTGGATATTTGAGCACTTCACACAGTGCTTTACATCCTACTTGGAAAATAATATGCTTTGTTTCCTATGTGGATTAATTAAATGGGAGTTGCTGTGCATATATGTTACCACATGTATAGATGATGAGCTCACCTTGTGACCTTTAGCTGCTTAAGCACAGAGATTCTATACAGAGGATGTGGTACTCAGCCTCAGAAGCTTTTTTACTATCATATATATAATTGTGGAGCAGGGTGAGCAACCTGACAGCATCCCTGGGACCTTGGAGCCTCTGATTTCTGAAAGCCTACTTTTACTCAGCCTCAGAAGCTTTTTTACTATCAGATATATATAATTGTGGAGCAGAGTGAGCAACCTGACAGCATCTGGGGGACCTTGGAGCCTCTGAGTGCTGCATTTATTTCCCCAAATTAACAAAATTTACAAATAAGGAAAACATGGAGATTTCTGAAAGCCTACTTTATGCACATGCACGTGCGCGCATGTGCGCGCGCGCACACACACACACACAGTTTTGGGGACCCTGTATCCTATTTCATTGCAGAAACATTTATTGCAGCATTTTTCTTTCACTGAACAACTATTGTCCCTGAAAGTGGTATTAGAGGAATACTGTTGTAGAAAAGGGAAGACATAGTAGATAAGGGGAGGATATTTGGCTTAAGAGGAAATAACTCTGGTTGGATACCATAATAAGCCACAATCCTTTAGAGTTCAGGCTTATGGGTAACAAAGGCAGCATGTTAGTGCATGTCCCACCCAGTTACTCTCTGCTACAAAGAGGAGTGGCTAAATAAATCAAGAATCTTGTTTATAGTGGTTTCTGAACCCCAAACTCTGCCTTTTCTCTCTCTAGACTGCTTTGGCTTGTCTGGGAGGGACAGTCAAGAATGCTGCATGTGGTCATTGCACTAAATTACAGAAAGAAGGTCTATGGTTTGTTTAGTTGCTCCCAAATGCAGCAGGAGAGACTGAACCTGGCTTTATTATGGAATCTGAACACAATCTATGTATTCACCCTGATTACCATCTTGTGAAAGATTTTGCAGTTGAGATTGATGTTAAAAGTCTCTTTCCACTCAAATTGATGGACAGTTGTGTCTGTTTTGTTAAACTGTCGTCTATTGTGGCCTGCTGTGTGTTTTCAGTCATGTGAAAAGGGCACCTGCCCCCTGTTTTCAGGAGCTCCTTGCATGCATTGAAAAGTGAGAGATTATTTCTCCACCAAGTTTCATCTGCTTCTTTATTGAAAGTGTTTTCCTTTATTGTGCGGCCTTTCAAGGTAGACATTATTTTAATATTTCTTTCCATGTTAATGCTGCCTCTGAGCACGTGGCATCAACATCTGCCCTGAGCTATAGTGCAAGTTAAGTTCCCAGGAGTCTCAGCCAGTAGGTTAATAAAGTGAAAAGATTAACTTATGCATTCCAGCCTAATAGGCAGCAAGATAACATATAATTGTACAGAGTTCAAAGTCATGCTTATTCTGTGTGAAAGGAAGCATGTTTTGGATCATAGACATCAAATCTCTTTATGTAATTGCCACATGAGTAGCAGAAAACCAATTTGTTTTGTGTATGTCAATCTTGCTCCTCTTTGGATCCACCTGTGAAATTGACCTGATTGTATACTCAGGGCTGTGTGCATACTTTACAGCAGTGTTTCCCAACCTTGGGTAACCCAGGTGTTCTTGAACTGCAACTCTCAGAAACCCTGGCCAGCCCAGTTGGTGGTGAAGGCTTCTGGGAAATGCAGTCCAAGAACACCTGGGTTATCTAAGGCTGAGAACCACTGCTTTACAGACTCTTCAGTTAGAAAAGCTGTATAATAACTCTGCAGCTGTAGAACCATACTTCTAAGTGCCTTGGCTATCATTATTTTTAAAAAGGAAGCTTACAGCCATTGTGACTAAGAAAGAAGATTGGGAGGGGGGTTTGATTAATTTTGCAGAACTCAAAGAATTCCAGAGAATTCTGGAAAATAGTTTCCAAAAAGTTTCAGTTTCTGTTGTTCATACTGACCTTACCTTCTTTGTGATTAGTAAAAGAATGATAAATAATTGCATTGATAAATGTGTCATAATAAATTATGCAGTCAGGGAAGTTGTACAGGTTTGTTTAGGGTGCAACACTGCACAAGGATGTTTGCATTTTTTGAGCTTGGCATTGGATCTCTAAAATTCATTTTCCTTCCTTTTAAGCAAATATTTATTCCTACTGCCTGTGAGGAAAGGCAGAGCTCTTGGTCCTCTGATAACTTCTCTGTCTCTTCTCATTCTCTGGAGCATCTCCATTAGTGGGATGGCAATGTGTAGTGCATGTCACTTACATTCTTCAGGGATACAAAGTAGGTATTTAAATCACTATAGAGCAGTGCAGTGTGACAAAAATAAATGGTGTTTTTAAAAAATCAAATTTTATTTAAATAGTTTAAAAATCCAGTATTTTTTTAAAAAATAAATGATTTAAATCATGATTTAAATGAGTTTGATTTAAATCAAATCCACCCTGGAGCAGAGCACTTGTTTTTAAAGGAAAAAAGTCTCTTCCTCAGTCAGCAGGCTTGTATGAGAAGCTATTCCTTTCACAGCATACTTCTGTGGAACTTAACTTGCAGTCCAACCAGTTTTTGTCCAGCTTGAAAGATCTGTTTTTCATGACTGTCATCTTTCAGTCCTCCTATTGTCTTTCCACAGATGCTTTAACCATCTCATATTTCCTTTGAGCTTTCTCTTTTCTCTCAAATTGTTTTTCTTCTTTGCTTCTCTCCATCCATCTCCTGGTTCCTCATCCCTCTGCATGCCACTAACTAGTTTCATTAGATATTAATTGATTTGTGAATTCAGGCTGAATTGCATCATCAGCAGATGGCGGATCCTGATTTATTGGAGGAGTCCTCGTCGCTACTGGAGCCAAGCGAAATGGGAAGGGGAACACCACTGCGACTGGGGTATGTATAGCTTTTCCAGTGCAGCATCTGAATTGCGTGAGTGGCAAGTTAAGGCCACAAGACTTGGGCCTACATTCCTTCATACTATTCGTGGTTCTTTGTCCAGGAAACTAGAAGAGAACAGGCCAGCCTTGCATGCATCTTGTTTTCCTCTAGATCTGCTGAATTTGTAAATTTAATTTATTAAATATCAAATAAACTGAATATTGTATACATTGTTTGTGGCAACCCAATCAGCTTGACTACATTTCTATGTTTAATGCAATTAGAAGTTTAAATAGTTTTTGCCCAAAGTTCATGCAAAAAATACAGCATATCTGTTTTGATTTGATGTTTTTATAGCACTTCTGGGATATCTGGATAAAATTATTGGAAAACATGATAGTTTCAAAAGCTAGCATGTGTTATTAAGGCCTGTATTTTCACCAACAGTTGACAAATGGGATTCTAGATTTAGAAAATTGCTGATCTTGATAGGATTGCAAAAAGATTGCCAAGAAAATAAAGACTTTGAGTTATTATTACCAAGATGTTTATGTATTGGAATACTAAACTTGGGCAAAATATTCTACTGTCTTCACTTATTTTGTCCTTGCACTAATCCTGTAGGTTTTATTTTGTATTTATTTTTGTTTGATGATTTCTAAGCTTCCTATAGTATATTCATATTTGTATATGTCAGTGAACATTACAATGTACCTATCACACTGCAGAATTAGCTTTAACTGCTAATATATTAGGTTTGCAGCTTTTGATGTTCCCACCAAGCTGCTAAGACTTTTCTTTTCAACCGTTTCTAGGCTGTGCTCTCTCAGGAAGCTTACCCCAAAGTACTTCCTTATATGGATGCAGAGAATTTTTATGGATATCTTTTAACAAAAGTGCATGTTCTTTGTCAGTGCAGCTTGTTTGGATTTATTCTGAGAAATTGATAGCATTTGCTGCTTTGGTAATTGGAGTAATTCAGACATTACTCCAAACTATGGTTTGTGATTGTTAAATTTGGGAACCAAATTTTGGGTTGAATTTAAAAAGTATAGCAAGTAACATGCAATGTGTATAAAGATGATGGACTGCTTTTGTTTCCTCCATCTCAGCACTCAACTCCCATCTCTTTAGTGTAGCAATCTCTAGGGTGATATGACGCCCATGAGTATAGTTTGTCAGTCCAGAGATCAACCAAAACCATTTGGAATATTTTGGAAACCCACTTCTAAATATGGTTACTGGTTTGCTTTCCAAGAAGAAGGTTTGCCAATTCAGAATCCATTCCAGTGGTGGGGTATATGAATTGATACTACTTGTAACTTCAGTGAAAAAGTGGTTACTGTGGGTCCTTACAACTATGAAATGGTCAGTTTCGTCTAGACCTTTCCTAATTGACCCTTTGTTCTAATACATTTCCTTTCTTTCCTTTTGACAACCACTTTTTCAATGTTAAGATTTGTGGCTGGTGTTATCAACCGTGAGAGAATCCCTACCTTTGAGCGAATGCTGTGGAGAGTATGTCGTGGAAATGTCTTCTTGCGTCAAGCAGAAATTGAAAACCCACTGGAGGATCCAGTTACGGTACAAAAGCCATTTTTGCAGAAGCATCAAGCTGTTTTTGGTGGGGGGTCATGATAAAAGCTTGCAGCCTAGTTTTTACTGAAAAGATCAATTAGAGCTTGATTTCTTCGTTGAGTTGGGAAGAATACTTACTTTAATTAGGGCCGAACGCAAGTGGCTGCTTGCTTACTTTGAAGCTATGTAGTATATAGGAAGAATATGAAAACTTTAAAGATTATGTTTCTCACTGAACATTTCTAATAATTGAAAAGCAACTGTTTTGTATATTGGTATCCTATAAATTTTAATCTGCTTGAAATCTCCATTCTGAACATCAAACCTGAATCTTAAATTATTTGATTTCATTTTGTGTTTCTGTACTTTGGTGTAGGGATTTTATATACAGTATTTCAATCTGTCCTATGTTTTAAATGTGGCCTCAAACATAGAGATATGGCAACATATAACATTTGCTCCATGTATAACCTTGAGGCTTTTTTTAAAAGATGTTGCTTCTACAACTGTGCTACTGGAATTCAGCATCACAGTGCAAAGAGCCATTTTAAAAAAATGGATGATTTTAGTGGGATTTTACTAATCTGCTGCTGGATTTTGATGGTGATACAGATTCTGTGACCCTCAGACTCATAAAATAATAGCGTTGGAAGGAGCCCATGATGCCATCCAGTCTAACCCCATGTTCAGTGGAGGGACTGGATCTGGCAAAGATGTCCACTTAACAGATTTTAAAGCTTTCTATTATATATTTGCTGTTAACTCAAGGGACTAATGTTATTATTAGCATCCCTAGAGTGTTTATGAGATGGCATATCATACAAAATAGCAGCACATTGGTGAGGAACTATTTTTATCTCAGGGCTGCATGACAAAAGCAGGCAGAGCCATTGTTCATCTTTCTTTCTGTCAAACACTTTTTTCTGTTTCGATACCTTCCTCTTTCTCTGTCAAGTGTATGCAAAGGGAGAGACAGAGTGCTTTTACTTGAGTTTTGAATTGATCACTTGTAAAGGGCTCTCAGAAAGAACACAGAAGTTGTGCATCTCTTTCTTAAAGCATGTACAGTTTGCTTCCTTTGTTACTGAGTACTGGCAACCCTCTGCAACTGAGTGGAGGTGTTTCAGGTTTGAAGACATTGATTCCAGGAAGGAATGGCCCTCATCTCTCTTCTGTTAAAAACCAAACAACTTGTTTTGTAACAAAGGCAAAACAGGAATATATGGAAAGTTCAGAGAGATGTATGAGGATTGCAGAGGGGCCAAAACGAAGACCTTTTTCTGCACTCTTTGCTGCCCTTATTACACTAATTCCAACTGTATTTCACATGGATAAGCTGCAGCATCAAGCTGTTACACCTCCCCCCCCAAAAAAAGTTCAACCTGAGTTTTGCGTTAAGGAAAGTATTCTGAGTCATACTAACTTCCCCCATCCTCACGGGTGAAGCTGTAATGAATGGCAAGGTTGAGCCCAATACCTCTGTTCCAATCAAAGTTACATGAAAGTTTCCCAATAGAGGTGTCCCAGCATTTTGTTTGAACAAATGCAGGAAAGGGGGGGAGTCTCTATCTAAGCCTAGCCAGCTGCCTGAAGAATGTGTTGCTGGCCTCCCTGGAGAGTTCAAGGGTTGGACTCTTAAAGTACATCCCAGGCATCAGTTCCTTTCCATTCACTCCTTTTCCTCCTGCTTGTTTATTCCAAGAGCATGTCCTTGGGCAGCTGCTTGGCTTATGTGTCTGGGTTCTCTGCTTCCATTATGATTTATCCACACTATCCAAAGTTAATTTAGCTGTGTTTAATGGATCCCATATCTACCTCTAAATTCTGCAGAAGCACAATAAGGTGTACTTCTATCTCTAATAGACTACTCTGTATTATGTTTGGAACAGCCATGAGAACCTTACAGGAACTGAAACAGAATGGGATAAATTTGGAAGAGTAGTGGGGTAGACTTTAATATTTTGTTCTCTATCCATTTCAGGAGCCCTACATCTGCTATTTGCTTTAGTTAGTTTTCATTAATTAGTGAATCTGGAATGAGGTGTAGTAGAAATGGCATTTTTCTTTTCTTTTCTCCTTGTCTGTGTCTTGCTTGAGTTCTCTACTGTCCTTGCATTGTAAAAAATATTTGGCAGTTCACCTGACCTCACTTTTGGTGGAATATTATGGCCCTTGTGTAATTGCATCTTTGGATGCTAGTGATTTTGAGACATTGAAGTAGCGGAAATGTTTCAAATTTGCCTTGTCCGGCATCCTAGGATTGCAGTAGGTTTGCCATGTATGATGAAAAACTTTTTGACTTTTCCACAATGCCACTGTTCAGGTCTTGCTCTGATGTTCTTTCAAAGAGCACAAAGCAATGTGCGTGATTTTGCTGCCATTTTAAATTCACATGTCCCTATGAAGTAGCTAGTGCAGTGGCTGAGCAGGGGATGTCAATCAGGGTCTTCTCAGACCAAGACTAATAGTCCTCTTTGCTACATTCCACACAGTGCATAACTCTGTGAATCAGTCCACACTGGTGCTCAGAGTTTTATAGTTAACTCCCCCAGATCATTTTGTTACTGCCCTAAGTGCCTACTTTCATCAGTTTCTTCTTTTTTCTTAGGGTGATTACGTGCACAAGTCTGTATTCATCATTTTCTTCCAAGGTGACCAGCTGAAAAACAGAGTCAAGAAGATCTGTGAAGGGTAAGCAGGTCGGACTTTGCTTCTAACCTAAGCAGCTCTATGAGTTCTTTTGTTCTTTGAAAGGTGAAAGATAATAGTGCTTTGCTCATTATCTTTCGTTTTTCATATAGAGCTACTTTTCAATGTGAGTATCCCCTTGCTTTTGTCATGTTATTTCTTTATCACTGTGAATAGGCCACGTCTCTTTCAGATTCAGGGCTTCTCTTTACCCCTGTCCAGAAACACCACAGGAAAGGAAGGAAATGGCTGCAGGAGTCAACACCAGGATTGATGACCTTCAAATGGTATAAAAGATGACAGGATCAAGGGAGGGAGGGAATTTCCTTATTGCTTAATTACATTGCCTTTATCTTGTAGGGCTCATTTGTTCTCTGTTGTAGCTTTCTGTACTGGGGGACATTCATCTATATCCCCACAGTGTACATTTGATGGTTAATGCCAGTCGTCTCTAGAACTGGGTGTGGTTTTTAAGTATCCTCCATTTGTCCTAGAACTATGAAATGTTAATTTTCTTGTATGCCACTTTACATTAAAGAGATCAAATCAGAATATAAAATTTGCTTTTTAGAAAGTTCTGAAACAATCTGTTTTTTCAAAAGCCATTAACTGGGAACAGTCATCCTTTCTACACAGTCCTTTGTCTTGCAGTGCTTTTTCCATCAAATGCTGTGATAGGGAGGGAAGAAGTGAACCCTCCCATGTTGAGAATCACCTAATTTTTTCTTTTGCAGTTGTCTAATGGGAGGGTCGAGAAAGTGCTTGTCTTAAGTATTATACACGGCAATGCAGCAGCATGACTGGAACTGTGCAGCTAGTGATCCTGCATGGTCTCATACACTCATTTGTGTAGTTTTTATTCCTGCCTCTCCATGATGTAAGCTAAGCATTGTCTTGAAATGCAAAGGCAGCACGCATTTCTCACTTTTGGGTAAATACCATGAAAGTGGGGAGATTGTTCATTCTCTGGTGCAGAACTCAACATGCTGTGAGTGCTGGCTATTAAAGCACAAAATATAAGTATATTTTTTGAATATACATACTGTTTCAAACCAGAGGAGTGGAATATTTCCATAGATTATAAGATGGAGAAGGAATGTTTCATGTACCTCTTTCCATCTTTTCTTGGGTGTTAGATAAACAATGTAACTTTGAGCACAACTATATCATTTTATCTTGTGTATGGTCTCTTAAAATAAATTATTTATATCATGTACACTAACAAAAAATCCTGAAAACTTGTCTATCTCAGGGTACATTCTGTAGTCTTCTATGCCATCAAGTTGTCTCTTAGTTACGGTGAACGTATGAATGAGAGATCTCCAAAATGTTCTGTCTTCAACATCCTCGTTCAGTTCTTGTAAACTGGCTTCCTAGGGAGTCAATCCATTTTTTTATTTGGTCTTCCTCTTTTCTTGCTGATTTCATCCTTTCTGAATATTGTTGTCTTTTCTAGAGAATCCTGCTTTCTCATTATGTGCCCAAAGTATGACAGCCTCAGGTTTTTTTATGTTTGCCTCCAGAGATAGTTCAAGTTTGATTTGCTCTATGATTTATTTGCTCATCTTTCTGGCAATCCAGGGTATTCACAAAGCTCTTGTCAACCACCATATTTCAAAGGAATTATTTTTCTCCTGACAGTTTTCTTATAGAGAATCCTGCTTTCTCATTATGTGCCCAAAGTATGACAGCCTCAGGTTTTTTTATGTTTGCCTCCAGAGATAGTTCGAGTTTGATTTGATGTAGGATCTATTTGCTGATCTTTCTGGCAATCCAGGGTATTCACAAAGCTCTTCTCAAGCACCATATTTCAAAGGAATTATTTTTTTTCTGCCAGTTTTCTTAATTGTCCAGCTTTCACATGCATACATGGTGATTGGGAATACATACAAGGATGTGGATATCTTGGTATTGGTCTCCAATAACACGTCCTTACACCAGATGACCTTTTCTAATTCTTTCATTGCTGCCCTTCTGAGCCTCAGTCTTCTACCATTGCTGCCCCTCTGAGTCTCAGTCTTCTATTGATATCTTGGCTGCATTCCCCAAATAGATTGCTGATTAAATCTAAGATATACAGAATCTTTAACAACTTCAGTTTCTTCATTGTCAACTTTGAAGTTGCATAGTTCTTCTATAATCATGATTTGTGTCATCTTAATATGCAACTGCAGTGCTGCTTTGTCACTTTCTACTTTCACTGAAAGTCATTTCAAGTCATTGCTGCTTTCTGCCAGTAAGATGGTATCATATGGATATCTTAAATTAGTGATGTTTCCTCCACCAGTTTTCACTCTTCCTCTGTTGAAATTTGATGTTTCCTCCACCAGTTTTCACTCTTCGTTGAAATCTAGTCTTTCTGTATGATATGTTCTGCATACTGATTGAACAGTTAAGGAAATAAAACGCACTCTTGTCTGACATCCTTGTCTATAGGAAACAATTCTCTCTCCATATTCTGCTCTAATGATAGCTTCTTGTCCACAGTACAGGTTATGCATCAGGGCAATCAAGTGCCGAGGCATGCCCATTTCTTTTAGAACAACCCACAGTTTCTTATGATCCACACAGTCAAAGGATTTGCTGTAGTCTATGAAGGAGAGATCAAATGAATGTCTCTTATTGTGCTTGACTATTAAGAGACATGGCCTGTTTTCCCTCATCCTTCCTCAAGGTGCTGAACCAAACAGAGGATCATCGGCAGAGGGTTCTGCAGGCTGCGGCAAAGAATGTCCGTGTCTGGTTCATAAAGGTGCGCAAGATGAAGGCAATCTATCACACTCTGAACCTCTGCAACATTGATGTGACCCAGAAATGCCTCATAGCTGAAGTCTGGTGTCCTGTTGCTGACCTTGACTCCATCCAGTTTGCTCTCAGGCGTGGAACAGTGAGTACAACCTATATTTTTAAACTTTGCTGTCTGCTCTAAAATTGCTGCTGGCATGTATGTTTATGGACAAAATACATGTGGGAAAATATGTGGATCTCAGAAGCCAAATTTATTTATTTGACTGAAAAACCTCTTATCTGAGCAGTGAAGTTACTGTGTTTCTACCTAGGACTGTGAAACAACACTAACTGGTTTATTCCCTCGGTGTTTGCGAACACCTATGTATGAAAGATTGCCTTGATCTTCACTTTAAGAAAAAAAGAGAAGGCATAAGGCATGTAGCCAGGAGGGTAATGGATTGTGTCAATTAGTTTGCTGTTTGAGACTCAGATCTAATCTAAAATTTTCTTGCTTCTTTTTGGAGTAAACTTTTCCAAATAATTTGAGCCTACAAAGTAGCAACCTGTAGCCATTTCCGATATAATGAGGGCAGAAGTATTGGGAGAACAGGAACAATAAACCACTTTCTCTAATGACACATATGTCTGTATGTAACAGGAACACAGCGGCTCCACCGTGCCCTCCATTCTAAACAGGATGCAGACCAACCAGACTCCTCCTACATACAACAAGACCAACAAATTCACTGCTGGGTTTCAAAACATAGTAGATGCCTATGGCATTGGAACCTATCGAGAGATCAATCCAGGTAATGATGATTGGCATACCAAGGGCAGCCCTTTTAACTAAGATGCTTCCTTTTTTCTTCCCCGCCCCTGCCCTCCGTCATGTAGCTGAAGTAGCTGTGTTGAGGCATGCCGTGGTGGTGGTTCACTTTCCCTAAAGGTGACATAGACAGGAGATTTTCTCTCCGTTCTCTTAGTAAATTTCCAAGAATGTACATCCTGTTTTTTTACAATACAAATATATTCAAAGTGATTCCCAGTAGAATGTTAAAGAAAACCTTAAGTCACTAGAACCACAACATAAAAACCATCAGTAATAAAATATTACATAATGATGGCAAAGTATTTTAGATTAAAATTAAAATATAATTCAGGACAATTGATTTGTAAGGAATACCTACAACAACTTAAGAGAGCTTTACATACTGCATAAATACTTCTAGGATGCGTCTTTTGTGATACAACTGCTGCATTTATCTTTTTGAGATTCCGTGAACATAAGCACTTATACTTTTAGCTGTAGGGCACACCTTTTGATAGCCAAGCACAGATAACATGTGCACTTAGCCAGGCCAGATAACACCAGTGCATGTCCTAAAATCCCTTGAATAGCCTACAAGACTTACAGACAGGTCTTGATGAGGATAGCTCTGCCAGATATCCAGTAATCAGAAGCATAATGCCTCTGAAGAAGCACACTCTATTTCTAGTTACCTTATATAATGGCAGGATATGAATAAATATGTTGTAGAGCTGAGACTGTGAAATGCACTCTCTTCAGAACTGAGATCCATTTCTACTCTGACTGCTTTTAAGTAGGGTGTAAAAACACATATTTAAAAATGACAGGTGATGTTTGATTTACTGTATTGTTTCAGTGTTGTAGTTGACTGCAGTGGTTTTTATGTTAGAGTTGATTTTATTTGCTTCTAGTGGTTTTATGGTTGAATTTGGTTTTATTTGTTTTAGTCCTTTAGGAATAAAAATCTTGAGCAGTGCTTTGTAGTGGAAAGGCAGAGTACATATGTAAGAAATAAATTCCTAAAACTAAATAAATAAGTGTTTGTCACTGTGTTTTTCAAATGTGGATCTCTATGTGGATCTCTATGTACTGTAGCCGCAACATAACTAGCCATCTATCAGAAGGGATATACAGTATGAGGAAATTCTAAAATTTGCAGAAAAACCAAAAGGGGGAGGGCAGGGACTGAGAATGAAAGCCATAATCAGAAACAGCTCAGTTAAGGAGTAAGCAAGCTCAATGGGCATAGAATGCTGCCTTAATGCAGGGAGAGGACAGAAAGGAAGGGCTGGAATTCTCTATAGCAGCTGTCCTTGCAGCTCCACTGCTGTTACTGGTCCCCTTGAAGGAAACATGGAGAACTCAACAGGAAATGAATAGAGTGTATCAGAAAAGGGTAGGGCGAGTTGAACTCTGAATAAGAGTTGGAGGTTCAGCTTGTCATGGCAGAGTTTAAATGCATCTCATTGAATCTGTTTAAAACAGCAGTCGTATTAGTTCATATCCAGTGGAATATAGGACAGTTTGAAAAACAACTATATAAAAGATGAGGAAGTTCCTTACCAGTATAATTTCGTTTTCTTCCAGTCCCTTCACCTCGGATCTCTTCTGTTAATGCAGTATCTTCCTAGTAGGCATAACTGATTTTTGTGGAAGAAGAAGAAAGCTGTTTTAGAAATGGATCTGAACACTGAGAAGGAAAACTGTGTGAGCTGGTGTGTCAGCTTACTTTTTAATCTAATTTAAAAGAGCATGAGGCTAATTTCCTCACATAAGAAGTTTTATTTATCTGGTTATGTTGATCTGAATAACTTTGTTCCAAACCAGAGAGCTTTTTCAAAGATAGCATTGGCTTCTGAAAGAATATCTGGCTTGAAAAGTTACACAGAACTCTGTTGAGATAATTTATTTCATGAGATAATTTATTTCAATGTAACTAAGAATATGATTAGTATTTATACAAATGTTTAACCATTTTTGTCTGTGTGTCTGGTGCCTATAGACAGTCCCAGTGAGATTTTCAGCAACTGATCTGCAAAACCTTTTTTTTGGGGGGGGGGGCTCATGAGGAGTCTGTAGGACTAGATCTCAGGATCTGCTAGACTCAAAATTCATCATCAGGTATTCTTTTTCCTGGTAGGTGGTCTTCGGTGTTCCATTATGGGCTAATCTTGACTCTTCTGTCCTTCCCAGCTCCATACACAATCATCACCTTCCCGTTCCTGTTTGCTGTGATGTTTGGGGATTTTGGCCATGGAATTCTTATGACATTTTTTGCTGTGTGGATGGTGATTAGGGAAAGCCGTATCCTGTCACAGAAGAATGATAATGAGGTAACAGTGACTGAGCCCTACTGGGGTGTAGAGGCTACAAGGAGGGAATACAAGAAAAAATGGAACATAGTCCCTGCTTCCTTGCAGAACATTTGGATTTGTTTCATTTTTTCTGTAATAATGATAATTTGGTCTTCACAGAGAGGATGGAAAAATTGGCTGAGTGCTCCTGGACTTACAGTTCCTGTAGTCATTGTTTCACAATGTTTGAAATGCTTCTAAGAAATAAGAAGACTAGTGAGTTTTGAGCCCACAGCTAGCATTTCATCCCAGGAAGACCAGGAATGCAAATAAGGATACCTTTTGTTTATCTTAATTTTATTAAATGTAAGCCGAATTTGTTTTGGCATTCAAATTTTGAAAAAGAGTTTCTCGCTCCTTAGTACGAATCTGTCCAACTTCTAAGGCTCCTGTTGTTCTGCCTCATCTCCTTGCACATAGCAATTGGCATTCTCAGTACCAGCTTTTTCCTTCCGGGCCAGGGCCAGGGTCATTGGAGACATTGTTCTTGGGATTGCATTGTCCTTTTGTTCTTTTTAAATGCAGGATCCTAGTTGCATATCTCTCACTTGTTTTTAATGTCTTTCCCCTCCTCCCCCAATTCTTCTTCTGCTAGATGTTCAACACCATTTTCAGTGGCCGGTACATCATTCTCCTGATGGGATGTTTTTCCATTTACACTGGCCTGATTTATAATGACTGTTTCTCGAAGTCCCTCAATATGTTTGGGTCATCCTGGAGCGTTCGGCCAATGTTTCAGAAAAGCAACTGGTCGTAAGTGATGAGATGCCTGTGAAGGCAGAAAATTATTGACTTGGGAAGATAATCTGGATGGTAGCAGTCGGAAAGGGGGAGGGAGCAGCAGCATCAGTCCCGTAACATCTTCCACAACAGATATTTTCTTCGTCCAATAGTAAAAAAAAGCTGAATTGTCCCTTCCACCCCAACTGTGCCAAACATACATTTGGCTCTATTATATCTGTGCTTTATCTCTGAAATGGTATTTCATGTGTGGCTTTCTGCTCTCTTCCACACAGAGAGGCTCTTCTCAAGGAGTATCCTGTGCTTCAGCTTGATCCTGATATTGAAGGTGTCTTTGGTGGGGCATACCCATTTGGCATAGATCCAGTAAGCATTCCCATTTCCCATTCTCTCTCTTCCTTTGCCTTGTCTTCCACCCTCCTTTCTTCTCTGTTCTCTTCTTGCCTTGCTCATCTTGGTTGGTATCTTTTCTGACCAGTAGAGTTGTTGAGACATTAATTGCAAGAATGGTCTGAACGTGATAGGTCCAAACTCTTTTCAGGGGAAGGGGCAAGAGCTATTGGTAGATAATGTAGAATAAGGTGGTAACATTACAGACTCTGCCACTTCTGCCCATGCAGTGAACTCCTGTCATATGGTTAAATGGTTTATTGAGGAAAGGGCTATGCTAAATGTCTTCCCTTCTGGGATGCTAGATTACCACAATCAGGAGGCCCTTTATGTTGTGGGAGGCATTCACATGTACGACTCTTTAACCCCAGGCCCCCACCCCTCCCCAAACTTCATTGGCGCACTCAAGGAATTCTGCCACACCAGTCTAAGATGGCTCTAAAATTCACAAATAAATTCTGTGCTGTTGATCTGTCCACTAGAAGGAAGTGAGCCATGATGCTTCTGCTGAATGGAAGTTAATTTCTTTCTTTAAAAAAAAAGTACTACATGAGGATTAGGACTTTAGAGTATTGATGACAATGAACTTGAGCTACAGTCCAAAAGCAACGAATTGGGAGTCTTTGAGACATGATGTGAGAATGTGATGTGCTGAAGTCTCTCTCTGTATTCAAAATTTCCACAGAAGCAGCTTTAAAACCACTAGCCTTGACTAAGATAATTTATTTATTTATTAGTTTTATTTATAGGCCACCTTTCTCCCTATAAGGGGATTCAAAATGGCTCACAGTATTAAAAACAATAGAATTAAAACACAATGAGCATTTAAAGACAATAATACTGCTTAAAATACATTGAAAGATTAAAAATATTTCAAACTTTAAAAAGAAACTTAACTAAAAATGGCATTCAAGGGACTCAATTATGCCGGTTAAAATTGTTTAAAGGGATTATTTATTCACCATTCTTTTTTAGACAGCTTTGCTGGCCCTGGCTATATGTTTTTGCTCTTTAATACTCATGCTGGGTTGCACCAGGCCTACGCTGGGCACTTTTAAGAGTCAACTAAAAACATGGTTGTATGTTCAGGCCTTCCTTCTATATTTAATTCTTTCTTTATTTTTTCTTTCATTTATTATTTGTTTTATTATTGTATGTGTTATGGACTGTTTGTAAAATTCTTATGTTTTCGTATACACCTTATTGGAAGCCGCCCAGAGTGGTCGACCAGACCAGATGGGCAGGATATCAATCAATCAATCAATCAATCAATTTCTCTAAAATGTTAAACAGATGGGGGGGAACATAGTCTGTTTCAGGTTTTCGTGCCCCCCCCCCGATTTGAGATGTAGGGACCTGTTTAAAATAGAATACCCACCACTTGGGTTGTTTGGAGTTGCAAAATCCATTTTACTCTTTACCCACCTCTCCCTTAGACTTGTAGACTGAGATGCATAAGGAAGATCAGCCAATATTAGTCCGAAGGATACACTCTGAAGCAAAATAAATTTTCTTAATCAATAACCATCTCATCATGATGTTGGCCTGAATGTATTTAACCAACTCTTCCATTATAAGCTCCTTTATTCTTTTCTTCCTTCTGTTGTTCTAAATGCTGCTGTCTTGATTTTGTGCTAGATCTGGAATATTGCCACCAACAAGCTGACGTTCCTCAACTCTTTCAAGATGAAGATGTCAGTCATTCTTGGTATCATCCACATGACCTTTGGGGTCACTCTCAGTCTTCTCAACCACATGTGAGTGTGATCCTCTTTTCTTAAATTACAAATGATAAAAAATAGATTAAATTATATCATTATAAATATAAAATGATAAGTAGTATTCCACTTAACCTAAATCAATTATAGGTCATATTACTTTAATTAGCTGTTTGTTTATAAACAGTTTACCATTCAGTTCCGAGCCCTCTATGTATAGATAATACCTAGTGCAACAAAGATGAAAAGAACCTGTTAAATCCTTTTACTTAAATCCTGTTATTAAGTCCAGCATAATATCTGGTCCACACGGACCACTCTAGGCGGCTAGAAAGATGAAAAGAACCTGTTAAATTCTTTTACTTAAATCCTGTTATTAGGTCCAGCATAATACTGTAATCCTGCATATTATTTATTCTATCATATTCTTTGATATATTTTATTCTAATATCAGAAAATTCAAAAGTAAAAATAGTCCTGAATTTTTAACTGTTTTTTATACCTCAGCAAAGATTAGTCACTGGTTCCTTTATTCCAATAATTTATAAAGCTATGACAGTATTCCAGAGAGTTGTTTCTTATCCTATGTCATTTCCAGACTTTAAAAAAAAAGTACTTTAAGACAGTCATGTAAAATAAAACTACGATGGTTGCTAGTCCACAGAAATATTTGTGGTCCTGTTGGGGCCTGGCTGGAGGGGAGCGGAAAGCTGATTTTATCCTTGACAGAAAGAAAGGAGTTTCCCTTCTCTAGGCATGTGCTTGACTTCTGTTCTAGGCAGGGAGAAGATGCAAAGCCAGAGCTAGACCAATACATGCTGGGGGTCTAAGGAATGTCAAGATTAAGAAACACTATAGCATTGCCCTCCAAAATGTTTATTACTCTAACAGAACAGATGTTTATTATTTGTTGTTGCATCTGATTGTATTTAGAAGCTCCTCATATTCTCAGACGTTAAGCTGTATCTTAGTTTGTGCCCAAATCTTACACTGAGCACAGTGTTTCATCTCTCCAGCTGTCAGCTCGCTCAATTGACAACATAGAATTTTGTGTTATGTGTTGCCTTCAGACTGGTTCTGAAATGTTTCTTAAAGCTTTTTTTAACAGCTTAGATTCTTGCGCAAAGAGCAGATTCTGTTTTCTGCTCTTTGGCTAAAAGTAGCTGCATATATTTTTCATTTTTTGAGCCACTGATAATCAGTATCTGTATTTCTATCCACCATCAAACACATCTGGAAGCAAAGCAATATGTTTGAATGATAATATACAGCATATTTCCTTAATAGTATAGAGTACAATTTTCCAGCACTTCTTCACATCCTTGAAAATCCATCAGATAGGTCTACAGTCAGCTTGAGCCTGTTACTGGCAAAAAGTCAATACTTTTTTATTTTGCAGCTTATAGGAATATTAGCATCATAGATATGGTGTTTATCACCAGCGTCTATTAAATAGTTAGAATATCACATGAATGGTTTTGTAACTCATTAGTGGAATGCAATGTCTAAAAGATTTTTGAATCACTTGTAAAAAATGTGTGTCTGTTTATGCCCCTGTAGCTACTTCAAGAAACCTCTGAATATCTACCTTGGGTTTATCCCTGAAATTATCTTCATGTTATCGCTATTTGGCTATCTGGTCATCCTCATCTTCTATAAATGGACAGCCTATGATGCTAAGAACTCAATGCATGCACCCAGCCTTCTCATCCACTTCATCAACATGTTTCTCTTTTCCTATGACCCTAAGGACACAATGCTTTATAAAGGGCAGGTATGTGGTCTGGAGAAGATAGATACTGGAATATATTTTTTACATGTTGGTATTTAAGGTGTGAAGATGAACTAGTAGTGTGAAAGGAGGGCAAGAATCTCATATCTGCACTTTTAAAAATCACAACACAGAATGTGAGCTAGGTCTTGTGGGCAATTGTTTACAAGCCATAGTGAGCAAAAAAATTGTGCATGAATCTGGATCCGGCACTCACCATGGAAACCCAGGTAGTGTCAATGGTCCTCTCCACTTATTTCCATCTCTGATGGATTGCCCAGCTGCATCCCTATCTTGATGTTGGGGTGCTCACCACTCTGGTCCATGTGCTTGTAATCTCAAGATTAGACTACCATGTAGCACTCTACATGGGCTACCTTTGACATTGATGCGGAAGCTTCAAATGGTGCAGAATGCGGCAGCCAGACTTCTCACTGGGGTGAGAAAACATCAGCATATTTCCCCCACTCTGGCTGCCTTGCATTGGCTGCCCGTTTGTCTCCGCTTTGATTTCAAGGTGTTAATAATGACATATAAAGCCCTAAACGGTTTAGGATCTCGATATCTAGCAGAACACCTCCTCCCACCTAGATCTACCCAAATCACTTGTTCTAGCCTGGAAGGGCGACTGAAGGGCCTAATGCTGAGGGAGGCCCAGAGAGAAAGAACAAGAAAACCGGGCCTTCTCGGCAGTGGCCCCTCGCCTCTGCAACAGTCTGCCCACAGAGATCTGTCTGGCTCCCTCGCTGGGTGTTTTTAAGAGGAAACTTAAGACCTTTCTCTTTAGGCAGACTTTTCCTCCTGTCATCACCTAATTACTTTTGCCATCTTGAATTATATTATTACTGTTGTCTTTATTTTATTATATTGTTTTTCTTTTATCCATTATTGTTAGTCACATACATACATACATACATACATACATACATACATACATACATACATACATACATACATACATACATACATAGAATGGATGACAAAAGGGTGGCTTTCTATCATAAGATGTGTTAGCATTTATAGAATAAATTCTTAGTTCTGGTTTAAAAGCCAGTTTCTAAATGGTGTCGTGACAGGAGAGCATTGATATATTTTGCTGAAAGAGTTCAGGTGTGGGGAGTTGGGGTGTCTAGTCAACAATAGTAGCTAGCTGCTGACATGCTGCTCTTTGTTTCCCTCGCTTTCATCTGTAAAACTACAAAGTTTGATGGGGACAGGATCTAACTGCACACGTGTGCTTGCAACACTGATTTGTCTTGTCCTCCCCACAGAAAGGTCTCCAGTGCTTCCTGGTAGTGGTGGCAATGATGTGTGTACCATGGATGCTTGTTGCCAAACCCTTGGTCCTTCGCCAGCAGTACTTGCGAAGAAAGCACTTGGTGGGTTACTCTCTTTGCTTTTTAAAATACTGTACTCTTCGAAATCTTGATCCATATGCATGCATTTGCCACACAGTGGTTGGGACCCAAATAACTCATTAAGGTGTTTCTGACCCATTGGGTGTTTTGATTTTCTTTTGGATGACAGACCCCCTATATCACCAAACAGCTTTGGAAATTCTCATTGGTTTTGAAAGGGTTTGCCATGTGAAAAGGGGAATATTGTTTTGAGGAAACAGAAACCCAAACAGCCACTGGAATGTGTAGAGATTGTGAGATTCTTCTGGACCCAGGCCTGTAAGAGGAAAGTTGCCTTTTTGGGTATTGCCAAGCTGATTGTTTGGGAATCCTAACGACATCAGCAGGGGCATCTAGAATTGTTACTCCCAAAACATGTTATGCTTGTCTTGTCCCCAGAGTTCTGCCTCTGGCTCGTGGCTGTGGTGTTCTTGTGACAAGCACATCGTGAGGAACTGTTAGGATGCAACAGCCCTTCGAAGTGCAGCTCAGTTAAAGACACTCCCTCTTCCTTCTCTGACCATCTCATTCTCCCACAACCCTTCCATTCGTCTCCCTTTTTTTTCTCTTTGTTTTTCTTCGCCTTTCCCATTTTTTTCCTTCCATTTGCTATCAGGAAGGGCAGCCCGCGGAGCCCCCTGTCAACCCAGCCCAGAGCCCGCAGGCAGTAGAGGCAGCAGCGGGTGCAACAGTGAGTGGATTAAAAATATGCCAAATGATGCACATGGCGAGAATGGGAGTTGCCAAGGGCTTTGGAAAATGTCTGCCTTGAGGAGGAGGATTATCACAGTGGTCCTTTCCTTGAAAAGACACATTCCAAATTCTGCACTCACTCACAGAGGGGAACTGATGCAACTGAATATTGTGTTGGATGTTTCAAGCCGTGGTTTGTATGCTAAGGAATTCCTGCACTTGTGTTGCAGTAGATTCTGGGCCTTGTTCTTGTGCTAGAGTGGGATATCTTTGGCACTCTGAATGATTTGGACATCAACTCCAAGACTTCTCAGCCAGTAAAGGACTATGGGAATTGTGGTCCAAAATAGCTAGAGGCCCAAAGATTCCCCAGTCTTGTTCTAAGGTGTGCACTCTCCCTTATTTGGAGTGCTAGAGAGATTTTTTTGGGACTTGCCGTTCCTCTGTGCAAGTTGAGGTATGTTGGAATACACCTGCTACTCCCTTCTGGAGGCATACTGTAGGGGGAGATCAACAATGACAAACAAGTTGTTTTATGGGCAGCTTGTCTGTCTTTATTGATTTTATTGTAGAACCCTGATAAGCCTTGGAGAAAACTCAGTGTTCACGAGAGCTTAGTTTGAAAACCACTGTTGAAGCATAAAGATGTTTTCACTTAAGTGTGAAATAATGCTGCTGCCACTCATTTCTAGATGCCATTGCCCTTTAAGTATTGCATAGTTGCCTGTTATTCTGTGGACTCACCTTGCCTGCTTATCGTTATGACCTTGTACAGCCAGGACTTTTCTGTTCAGTACACTTTTAATTTTACATACCATGTTTTCCAGCTGTCATACAAGGTGATGTCTCTTTAGCAGTGCCACTCCTTCTGAATTCACATCTTTGGCCTGCACCAGTTTCTTATTGTCTGCTATTAACTGCACTCTTTGAAAATTGCTATGACAGCGCACTGAATTATTTGGTGTCCAGTTTTTATGCGTGCTTGCAGTTCTCTGTGCTGTTATAAGTACTGGTAGATGAAAAGGCTATTTAGGATCAGTGTTCTGTGATTATAGTCCAAAAATTTATCTTGAAGTTACGTGAGTGGAACACCTCAATGTTGTTGCCCTGTCACGTTCTTGGAACAGATAATATGATTATGAATTGAAAATTAGGTAATATCCAGAGTCCTACTGGTCTTCATTTACAGTTTGTGTAACTTGCTGGTTGTGGATAACTGACAGTGTACAAGGGCATATCTCAGTTGTGCAGTTAGGCCCTTGCATTTGCACCCAAACAAGATATACTCCAACACCTTGTCAATTAGCCATGACAAGTTACACAAACATCATTAGGATTCTGGCTGTTGTATTTAGATGTTAATTTAGATGAAACCTTCAGTCCTGCTGTGTAATTGGACATTAAATGGAAAATCTGCCTCTTGAGAACTGTTTTTGCACTTGGAGATAGAAGAGGATTCTAATCTTCAAATTTAAGCAGGGTGATAATGTAAGAACTGTCCTGCTTTGTCAGGAAAAACAAAAGCAGTACTGCCCTATAATGCTTAAAGTGCTCTGGATGGTTTACATTTTTTAAAATTATGCAGACTACACTTTGCACCCCCACCCCAGCAAGCTAGGTACTAATTTTATCAACCTCAGAAGGATGTAAGGCTGAGTCAACCTCGAGCTAGCTACCTGAGCCCAGGATTAAACTCAGATTGTGAGCAGAGTCTTCACTACAGTAGTGCAATTTAACCACTCTACCATGAGGCTCCTTACACAAGTCTAGGACTTCCTCAAGCAGCCTGATTCCACTGGATTCTTGCATGTAAGCAAGAAGATGGTGAACATTTCAGTATCTGTTGTTCAGAATTATACTGTGTAAGTCATAGTTAATGAAATCGAAAGCCTTGATAGTTGGAGTAACTGGCTCAGTGAGATGAAGCATGTTGCTGTGGAGCCAGGTGTCAGAGGTTTGATTCCCTACTGTGCCCTGTAGGAGAAGAGCAATCCTATGAGGGCTTGGGCGAGCTATGGAGTTGCAGTGTGCCCCCAGAAAAAGGGAGTCAGCAGCCCACTTCTGAGGACTCTGTACCTAGAAAACCCTAGGAGGGGTTGCCTTACGTCAGAATCAGCTTGAGAACACCTAATTATTATTAATGGTGGAGGTAGCTTTTTCTCTATCAAGTTGCACAGGGTGTGGTATTTAATCTTTCTTAGTGAATCATTTAAATTTCTGAACTATTCTTACTTATTTGTTCCTTTTTAAAACACTCAATATCAACAAGTGCAGCTACAGTATGTATCCTGGACAGTGTGTTCCTACAACAAAAACACAGACCCTGTTGATTTGTCAGACCCATGTTGCTGTTATAGTATATTGCTTTCTGATATTTGAAGAGAGCTGCGCACACAGGAGCTGAGAGTCCGCAATGGCTGAACGCATGCCCAAAAGAGGAGTGGCTTCTTCAGGCTGGGTCTCCCATGTAAGGGCAGATCTGAGTGTCTCTGCTGGTGTTGGGAATGGGTGAAGAGGGCAGTCAGTGTCAACCACACCCGGCAAGAGACATGTGCTGCAATTTTTGTGTGCCAGCACATGATTTCTTTCGTATGCTACGGATTGAATCTTCTCCAGGGAGTATCTGAGGATTTCTTGCTCATGTTGCTCATGTGTCATCCTTCCTAAGCAGAGGAGAGTCTCTGTTTCTCCCTCTCTCCCTCCCTTTTTCTACTCCTCTCCCAAGCTCTTAATTTCGGGTTTCATTTTAAAAGGTCCTGTGTTTGCTTGGAATAGCTTCAGCTTTTGCTTTGGAAACGAAGCAGAACTGAGCATCAGGATTTTTCCTAGAGAAGCAACAGTGTACATAGGCCAAGGTGTACTTTGCTATGAATTCTTTACTTTTATAGCTTAAAAAAGCAAATGTGCAATGATCAAGTTAGTCTAAAACATTGCAGTGCTTGTGGTAAGAAATCAAAATAGCACCCATTCAGTCCCGAAGCATGTTTCCTGAGGTGCAGTTCCACAGTTCCTGTTCCATTGAATTATTCCATGCAAGAATTTCTCAGTGAGTCAAATCTGTATGTTGTTTGCTGCTGTCTTTATTTGAACCCATAATTCACTGCCAATGGTGACTGTTTTCCTTGTCTCATGTTATGGCCCTCTCTAGCATCTAGCCCTGCATGTTTCTAAAACATGGACCATTTGTATGTCTCCTCTTGTTTTCTTGGTTGCCTGTTTTAGGGGACGCTCAATTTTGGCGGCATCCGTGTAGGCAATGGACCAACTGAAGAAGATGCTGAGATAATCCAACATGACCAGCTTTCAATCCATTCAGAGGAGGGAGAAGAGGTAACACCCTCCTTTTTTTGTCTTGTGGATAAAATGATTAGAAGGTGTGAATGTTGTAAAATCCTCTTTCCAAATAATATCAGATTAAACTAAGTCTTGTTACAGTACTTGTTGTTCTGTCCTCTTTGCTGCTTGCACTCTGACTAGTACTAGCTAAAAATTAATTCCTACAAGAACAGAGCAAAAGCAGGATATTTTAATGAATGCGTGTTGTCCCACTAATGTTTATCTTAAGGCAACTCGTTCTGATACTTGTGAATGTTGTAAAAGTCAATTAAACATCCCACTTTAAGGGTGGTGAGAATGTGAAGGAGGGGGGTTGCCTGCAAAAGTGTGCACTGGTCACTGACCTATTACTCATCCTCCAACACAAAGCATGTGGTACACTTGCGGGGTTCCAATTACTTTTACAGTTGGTACAGCAGCACTGTCTAAAATAGGGTAATAGTCCCCTGTTGCAATTGACGGAGTTAAAGCTGGGAGCTGATGGTTTGCTCATGGCCAGTTTGTGAGATTGTGGTTGATGTGATCTGGAAGGTTCATGGCTTGCAGTGTCTCCTCTGTGGGCATTGCTGTTCTTCCAGTGTGACATGAAAGATGGTGACAATATTGCCTTTTAGGATGCTGGGCTGAAAGAGGGAGGTTTGTTGCTGGGCAGAGGGCACAACTGTGTTGATCAACTAACTTGATTCTCTTGTGTAACAAATGGTGCCTGACCAAAACTGAATGTTCCCTTGTGTTTTCAAGCCTACTGTGGAGGAAGTGGTAAGCCTGTAGCCAGTTTATGTGCCTGTGTTCACCCAGACCATTTCTCCCATCAATATAAATTGTTGTGTAGAATTAAGCATACTTGCATTTGTGACTTGGAAGTTATTTTTTTGTAAAGCTGTCTTCTTCTCATAATCATAGACCACTGTTAACCATTTCTGTGGAAAACTGCTTCATTTTTATTTTTTAAAATAACCGACACATGTTTGAGCTGCTGCATATGCTTGTAGGGGTCCTTCTGCATTGTTATTGAGGCTTGAGCTGCATGTCAGGGGTTAGCATAACAACGTCACAAAGTTTCCTTGGCCTTTGGAAGGAACTTGGATATAACTGTACCTTTAAACTTGCTCTCCCTCACTTGCCTTTCTTAGCCTTATCATAAGAAAGGCCTTTGCTCCCTCACATAGATCTTCTTTTTGTTCCTATGGTTATTCCCTGAAGATATGGCAAGAGGAAAGAATACCTCACAGGTCATTAATGAGTTTCTGTGTGTGCCCCCACCCCACTCCTGTGTTCTCCTGTATGTGTTAGACTTGCAGCAAAAAAGATTTGATGTTCCTCTGGGGTGGCCTCAGTTTAACTAGTTGGTACAGTCATATGTTTCCATTCTGCAAATGAAGCCACACATGGGGCTGGAGGAGAAAAGGCAGTTTATTTTATTTTATTTTATTGTTTTCTAAGGGAGTTTCAGCTAGACTCACAATTAGGAAGGGAGTTGCAGGAACAACCAAAAATCTGCTTTCCAGAATACCTTTGCCCTTTATTTCATTTTTTTAGCTTGCTGTTGCAAAGTGACATTCTTTTAGATGTCACAGGGGATAGTTGCAAAGTGGGTGTTGGCACTGAGTCAGAAAAAATTTCTTTCCTTTTCCTAATTAGCACCTTTGTGACAAATCTTTAACTGCCCAGAAAAAGCCAAGCAGTTTCAAAATAGGGATAGGTATCAGTCTTAATCTGTTAATCTTTGCTAGTCAACAATGAAAACTTGTCAGAGATGGGCAGAGTCTACTGAGAAGTCTTCCTCCATGCTTTTATGTGAACGAGAGGATTGTACCTCTTAACGTTTGTGTTCCTCACTTTAGCCAGTTTATGAATGACCTTTTGCCTGTTTTGGGGGGCACCAGCTCCTTGGCAGCAGATGATAGCAGAAGTTAAAAATAGACCTTTTTATCTTGGTGCTTCTGCCAAGAGGTGAGCAATGGCCACTTCATAGTGGCCACTTGATAATGGGTTCCGACCATGGAATGCAGGGGTGGGAAGTGTCCTTTTTTCCTCAGATCAAACAAATGCCGGCTAGGACATTTGTCTAAATCATATGCCCCTCGGCATTTCTAGTGAATGTAATCCCAAATGAGTACTGATTGAGGCAAACTCTTCAGCTCTCTGTCTCAGGCAGAGGGCTGCTATCCCAACACATTCCTGGTTAGTATTTTATTTATTTATTTATTTAAAATATTTTATCCTGCCTTTCTCCTTAAAAAAGGACCCAAGTCAGCTTACATCATTGAAAGACAGCATTTAAAGCTGAAAACAATGAGTACACAACCATAGTTTGCATCATTAGAAGACAATATTTAAGCTAAATACAATGAATATAAAGAAGCAGCTTACATTATTAGAAGACAATAAAATTAAAAACCATAAGTATACAAATATTTAAAAGGAACAGATACCACTCTGAGAAATGAAAAACGAAGTAGTATTAAAAACCCAATCAAAGCAGTAATGCATAACAATCCAACTAAAAATCACACTCAGATAGCCAGTCACTGAGGGAAGGCTTGCCTGAAGAGAAAGGTTTTTGCCTGCTCGCAAAAGGACAGCAAAGATGGAGCCAGTCTGGCTTCCTGTGGGTGGGAGTTCCAAAATCTGGGAGTGGCAACAGAGAAAGCTGCCTTCTGTATCCCCATCAAGCATACCTGTGAAGGTTGTGGGATGGAGAGAAAATCCTCTCCTGATGCTCATTAACACCTGAGCTGGCTTATAATGGGAGATACAGTCTTTGAGAAGTTGGAATTGTAGGGCTTTATAGGTAAAACCCAATTTTGAATTGTGGCCGGACACCGATCAGCAGCCAGTGGAGCTGTTGTAATGGGGGTTATGGGGGAAGTTGCTCTAAGTACTGCTGGGGAAGTACAGCTTATACCATAGAGATGCAGGAGCAGACTGACTGATGCTTTGTGTTCTGATCCTGTTCTCAAATTGGAACTTTCAGTTTGAGGTTAGAAGTTGTGTCTGAAGTGTGAACAAGGAGTGTATTCTTAAGGAGAGAGTTGGGTTGGGTGACTGAGCTTTCTGTGTCCTGATGGTTGGAATGAGAAATGCCTGTGGTACCTGGGAGCTTTTGAATGAACTTGCAATAAAACTAGCTGCCGCCGCCGTTTTTCTTTGTCTTCCCTGTTTTCTTCATCCTTGAAGCATTGCTCTGTACTTTGGCCATCACTCAGAACTGATTTAATTTCTTTCCACAGTTTGACTTTGGGGATACCGTAGTCCACCAGGCCATCCATACCATTGAATTTTGCTTGGGATGCATCTCCAACACAGCCTCATACCTGCGCCTCTGGGCACTTAGTCTGGCTCATGCACGTGAGTAGCTTCCCCACGGTTGGCCATTTAGATGCAGGGACGAGGAAGGAGAGAGGTAGACGTCATGGGAGTAAGGGGAGGTTGTCACAAACACCCTTTTGCTCTGTAAGAGTCCAACTCTCTCTGTATATTTTAATTCCCTGTAACTCAACATTTTAAGAGGAGCAGTGAGGATTTTGCACAACAAGTGCAAAATAGCTACAGAATGCATGAGGTAGCTCTTTCTAAGCATTTTGAATATGCCATTTTGTGATTTAGAAGCACATGTAGTTGTGGGAGATTTGTGTGCTTATCCCTGGAAGTCACAAAATCCACTTCTTTTGGGGCAGTAAGCAGTCCCAGACAGGAGCAACCAGAACAACAATGGTCCTTTTTTAAAAATCACCAGATACGCCCCACCTTTATCAGCATTCCTTCTCACTACCTTTCTCTTCACAGAGCTCTCTGAGGTCCTCTGGACAATGGTGATGCACGTGGGGCTCAGTGTGAGCAGCTTGGCTGGTGGTTTGGGGCTGTTCTTTGTATTTGCTGCCTTTGCGACCCTGACAATAGCCATCTTACTCGTCATGGAGGGCCTTTCGGCTTTTCTGCATGCCCTCCGCCTGCATTGGTGAGTGTCACGTAATAGACTTCCGAGTCGTTGAAAATAATTGTTGGGACAGGGCTTAGTGACATTGTACAGGCTTTGCATCTGTACAGTGCTTTGTCCCTGTCTTCTACAGTAAACTATGGAAAGTATCAGGGCAAGGAAGAAGGAACTGTATGAAGGAATGGCTAGATACACCCAACCGTAGGCTATACAGTGGTGCCCCGCATAACGAGCGATTCGTTTAACGACGAATCCGCATAGCAATGTGTTTCAAAGTGATCACATTGTGATGTTTTAGATGGTAAAACATCGCTTTGCGATGATCGGTAAGCATTTCGCTTACCGATTATCGCATAACGATGTTTTAAGAACAGCTGATCGGCGGTTCCAAAATGGCCACCGGATGAAGAAAATGGCCGCCTGCTGTGTTTTCGTGCCCTTTCCTCACTTACCGGGCAGCGAAAATGGCAGCCGCATGGAGGATTTCCGCATAACGGTGAGGTTTTTTGCCCATAGGAACACATTAAACGTGTTTTATTGCGTTCCTATGGGCTTTTTTTGCCCCACATAGCGACAAATCCACATAGCGATGATTTTTTCGGAACAGATTATCATCAGTATGCGGGGCACCACTGTATATGAGATTGCTTCATTTTTCCCCCAAGCCTGCTTGATCCCATACTAAGATTTCAGCTGCCTCGCCTACTGTCCCAATTTTGCTTTCACCTAAAATTGGTGAAAGTTTTCATTCATTGCCTGGGGATGATGCTCTGTACCCTCTCTCAAAATGGGACTCCTCAGATGGGCTGGAGCTCCTACTGTCCTTGGTAGCTCCATGTTAGACATGTTGGCTGGGGACAGTGCAAGTTGTGATCCACATCTGTTAGTCATGGAAAACAGATGATGGTGTGCCATCTTCTGCCATTCAACCACTTACAGAATAGTCTTGCCAGTACCTAAATGGCATGGCTGCCCAATATGTTCCAAGGGATTGGGGCTGGGTTAGCATTGCCTGTTATTATTTGTAATACTGCCCTGTGTGGACTCTATGATGTAAATTAGTGGAAGGTCTGCCGGTCTCCAGGCAAACTCCAGACATGGCCTTTGTGGTTTTCATCCCCAGGAGTGAATCCTGTGAAAAACTGGAAGACTGGTTGTTCAGTATTGAGAATGAAGATACTAAAACAGAAATTGAAAAGGAACATCTCTCTAAATCTTGTCCTGAAATGAGTTTCCCTTAGTTTTGCACGAGTCTTCGTTTTGACATTTATCATGTCTTCATTTTGCATTTGTCTTTCAGTCTTCCATAAGAGAAAGGGATATTGAGCTATATCATAGCTCTATTCCATCACTGATATGTGAATTCATATTTACATTAGTCCTTTATGAAAATATATCTAGATTCCTGCAAAAGATATGGGTGTATAAGACTAAATTCATAGGCTTCCTCTTTGCACATGTCTATAGTCACCATACATGTCCAGGGGAGGGAGTGGGCAGTAATTTGCTTATGTACGGCAAATGTATACCACTCTCCTTAATCTAGATGGGCTTTTCCTACCCTAGTCAGATTAATGTATTGTTTTTAGTGTGCTTTGTCTTTGATCTGTTTGTGTTCTTTGTTTTATTGCCCTGCTTGACTTGTAGTAGTTGGCTAGGCTTCATTCCTTGTCAGGAAAGCGCAGCATAGCAGAACAATAGCAGCTGCATCCTCAGCAATCATGACATCAGCCATTATCTCGATCTTGCACTTGGGCCCAGGGATTGCTTTCCTTGCTGGCCCAGCCCTCCTTTCTGTGTGCCAAGTTTAAAAACCAAAAAGGCTTCCAACAAGGCCAGCTGTGTCTGGAGATAGGGATTGTTGAGTCATTCTTGTGCAGGATGGAGGTCACTGCCAATATATGGGGACTTGTGGGAATCCCCCCTAGCTGTTTGGATGACTACATTTTTTTCTTTAGGGGAAAATCAGAAGAAAGGGAAATGTCAAAAGCTGTTTCTATGAATAAACAAATACAGAGAAATAGAAGGCATGGGGTTCCTGTTACATTAGTTGATCATAGATAGTTTGAACAACTGTAGATGAACTGGAGCTAAAAATTTCCACAAAGTGCACAAAAATTGTGCATTGCTGTTTTTAAAACTGCAAATGACAAAATAATTGATACCTTCTTTGCCTTCCATGCCATAAATATTTTCCAAACTGCCAACTTTCATTGCTGTTTTAGGGAAGCTTTTTCTGATGTGTTTTAATAGGTATTTTGACTTGCATCGTTAGTTTTTAAATATAGGCACATGCCATACTTGTTTAAGGAGAGAAGGAATCAGCTGTTTCAGGTGACTAAATGAAATGCTTAGTTTTTCAATGGAGTTTGTAAGGTGATGGCTTTCAAATCTTATGGCTAGAGCAGAGGGTAAAGAATTTTTGAGGTATCAGGCTTAGAACTTAAGAAAATGTCCTTATATTAGCTGTGTTTGCATGTAACAGGAACTCGGGGATTGTAAGTAATCATGATATGAATAAGTTGTTTGCTGAGGTAGACTTCCTCTTTGCCCCCTTTGCATGTGCACCTAAACTAGTGAGGAACCAGTAGAGCTTTGCCAACGCCAGGTTCAGACATATAAGCTGTTCCCTTCTACTTGGTCTACTTGCTGTTAGCAAGGGAAGGCGTGGATAAGACTAGCACACAGTTTCTTCACACTGTGGCTTATTAAGCCAGGATTCTTGACTTAGCATTATGGGAAAGCTCCCACTATGTAATCACATTGGCCCTGTGACCTAAAATCATCTTAAACTGGAAATTCCAGGATTTGAATCTGTGAGCTTCTGCATGCAAAGGGTCTGCTTTAATCACCAGGCAACTCCACTTCCCCTTCAAACAGAAAAGCTCGAATTCAACTTTGGCTGGAAGGAAGAACTGTATGATGGTTTTAACTGCTGCCCCCACACACAAGGTTTCCAGCTCCTCCCTCCTGGGTCACTCCTGTGTTTATCTGGGCTGTGTTTATCTGGTAATTCTTCAGGGAACTGGACATTACAGACGGCTGATGTGGCTGAAAAGCAAAGTATCCAGCAAAACTGTATCTTCATTAGCTGTTTGCAAACCATGTGACTATTATGCCGTTAATGCTGGTATGCCTATTCTGCCCTGGTCGCCCCTTCAGCTTTCCTATGCCCAAAAGTGATAAAATGAACCCCCAGCTGTGCAAAGGGTTCTTTTGACATAGAGTTTTCAACTGGGAGGCAGCTGGGGGTTCATTTTATCACTTTTGGGCATAGGAAAGCTGAAGGGGCGACCAGGGCAGGATGGGATGGAGATCTGAAATAATAGGTATTACGTTTCTGCAACTGAACAAGATGGTGCTGACACAATGGATGATGGGTTCTTCCCTATGGCCTGTATCTGTTTGTGCCAAAGCTGGCATGCCATAGTACCCTTTAGCCTTAGGTGAATGAAGTGCCAAAAAAGATAACTGAGGCCAAGAACAAAAAGGCCATCCCTCTTAGGGCCAAGGTTTCATAATAAATTGGAGAAGAGACTTGTTTTAGTTGGAAAGGGAAAAATCTTTGAAATCTCCTGGCTAAAAGGAGAAAGCACCAGTCTTCCAGATGTCTGGGCCAAGGAGATGGGCAGGGGGAATGAATAAAATCATTGGGGAAGGGGAACCATGCATTCTGTGATATGAAGAAGCTGAACATTCCATCGAGGATGGGCATGCAGGTGTCCTGTCCCTATCCCATGTAGGGGAGGAGGTTTAATTTGGTGTAGTAGCTAGTAAGATCCCAGAGTCCTTAGCTGATTCAGGTGCAAGGAGGATTGTGTTTTCCTTTTCCTACCATCTTGATATAAGGGAGATGATCTCTGATTCACCAATGCTCGTGGTCTGCATTGCTTGTCCATTGGGGGGGAAGCAGTGAAACTGAGATGGAAGACACCCTCACGCGTCAAAAAACAAACAAACCCCAAAACATACCTTTCTTGACTCCAAACAGCATATTTCTTGCTTGCCTTTTGATTATACAAGGTCTGTTGCCATAGACTTCAGTCTCAAAACTTGTTGACTCCTTTGTTCAGTGACAGCAGATTTTGAGTACTTGAAACATGGTCAGGCTCCTTGTCCCCTTCTCCATTCTCCTGCCACTTAGTGGAACAAGTGGCAGATAGCTGTTCCCCATCCATACGTGCAGCTGGCATGCTGTGGATATGCTGGATATGCTGTATTTCTGGCAGCATGACCGGCATTCTGTATGGGAGGAGGCTGTTGGTGTTCCTGTCCAAGGGGTATTGGTGAAGGGAACATCGAGGATGGGCATGCAGGTGTCCTGTCCCTATCCCATGTAGGGGAGGAGGTTTAATTTGGTGTAGTAGCTAGTAAGATCCCAGAGTCCTTAGCTGATTCAGGTGCAAGGAGGATTGTGTTTTCCTTTTCCTACCATCTTGATATAAGGGAGATGATCTCTGATTCAACAATGCTCGTGGTCTGCATTGCTTGTCCATTGGGGGGGAACCAGTGAAACTGAGATGGAAGACACCCTCATGCGTCAAAAAACAAACCAACCCCAAAACATACCTTTCTTGACTCCAAACAGCATATTTCTTGCTTGCCTTTTGATTATACAAGGTCTGTTGCCATAGACTTCAGTCTCAAAACTTGTTGACTCCTTTGTTCAGTGACAGCAGATTTTGAGTGCTTGAAACATGGTCAGGCTCCTTGTCCCCTCTCTATTCTCCTGCCACTTAGTGGAACAAGTGAAGAGAAGCAAAGCAGATAGCTGTTCCCCAAATGCTGTGGATATGCTGTATTTCTGGCAGCATGATTGGCATTCTGTATGGGAGGAGGCTATTGGTGTTCCTGTCCAAGGGGTGTTGGTGAAGGGAACAGAGAAAAGTGGGGGTGCTTCAGTTTTCCATCCCTTTTGCCCTGCAGTGATGTTCTGTTCTTAATTTTATAGGATGCTGTATACCCAGAATTTTAACTAGCATTACAACTTCTGTGCAGTTTGGCTTTGTGTGCTTCTATTCCCCACCCACCCCCTCAGTGATCACCAAGCTGTTTGGCTTTTACTATCTATTCCCACAGTGTGCAACCTTAAAATGGAAGACCTCTGTCATTCCTGCTGCTTCCAAGTCTGGGTTCAGCAAAGGCTTTCAAACTTTTATGACTCGTGCCTTACCTTGAGAAAGGTAACCGATTGATCTGGCCTCCGCTGTAGCTTGATACTGTGGCTAAATAATGGAGTGATCAACTTGGGTCCAGAATGTGGAAACATGGGTCCAGAATGTGGAAACTTTGATAAATGAATGAAGTCCTTACGCAAAGAAAACTGGCATGTCAAGAAAAAAAAGCTCAAACGTAGCCTTCTCATGTATAGTGCAGGAAATCTATTTGCATGGTGAAGCGCTCTGTCACATGTGGCCCTGCTTGCAGCTGAAGCTGTAGAGCCCTGACAAAGCAACTAGGCCAAAGCTGCAGGCCAATCTTGATTGTTACGAACATACACAGACAGAACATAGAGACCTGTTATTTGCTCAAATCAAGCCTCCTCTTTCACAGTTTTGTACAAAGGATCACATTTGCCCATCAGGCTTCCTTTGTTCTCCTGTCCCTTTTAATTTCACTCTCTTCTCAATATAATTTCAGTTGCTCTGTTGTGTGTTTTGGTTTGTAAGATAAATGTTGGTCCTAAAAAGATTTCAGCGGTTCAGCCATTTCACACTGGAGTTGAAGGAGCAGCACATCAAGTCTTGCTCGATTTTTCTCTAAAGCTGGCAGGCAAAGAGGGATGGAAAATGTTTCTCATCAGAGGGCCAAGAGAAGAGCACGGGGCTTGTTTTCTTAATGAATCATGGGGGTTTTTCTTTCCATGTTTGGTGCCTGTTTATGACTGGGCAGCCTTCCAGTGTCATTCCCTTTACATTTTGAGCTCATGAGTGGAAACAGCAGAATAGCAAGGGAAACAAACTGATCCTGGAATGCAGCCTCTGACTCCTTCGCTGGTGTCTCCCTGCTACACCCTTACAATGAGGCAGGATAATAGGTGGGGATTTTAGAATGGATTGGTGTCCTTTCTTTCCAGTGTAGGTGGATAATTTTAAAAAATGGGGTACAGGTACAATTTAAATATGTCATGCCGGGATCTGAAATCAGCTGCGTTCCTGGTTTGAGCTAAGGAATTCCAGTAAGAAGCCTCCTCACATTTTCCAAAGACATGAGATTTTACCTTTCCCTTATTTCATGGCAAACCAAGTTGTACAGTTTGTGTATGAGAGGGAGATGATTCACCAGTTGGGGAGGACATGATTGCAGTGACAACTGGCCTGGCTGACTGGACTCAAGGCCCTGGTGACTGAGAAGCTGCCCTCAGATTTGCACCACTAAGAACCGTTCATTTTTGCAAAAGTTGGTGATGTCTCTCAGGAAGTTGTACAATAAGTGGGGGAAGGGTTTCCAGTCTACTCTGTATTGTGTAATCTCACTTATACTTCTTTTGTAAGAATAACTAGGGTTTATTTTCTAGTTTTGGACAGCTCATAGACTTGATGCTCTTGGGTGAATGACAAGTCAGCTTAACCTCTTTCAATTGCTTTAGTAGTCATGGTATTATCCAATGTTCTGTAAATGTTTGCCTCAGTAAAATAGACGGTGGAATTTTAATATGAAGGTGAAGATGATGTAACCTGCAAGATGTATATGAGTTAGGAGTACAAATGGGATTGAGGTGTAGGTTAAGCAACAGCCAAGTCTCTGGGAATTCCAGGAAAACACTTATTGGAGAAGGATGATGGAATATCATTCTTTGTTCTGAGATCAGGTTGGTTATCATGCAAACAGGGTGCCCTGCCATGTATTCAAACATAGTATTTTAAAAATCAAGTTCCTAACTCTCCTTTCCAGTTGAGGAGAGCATTCCTTCCGACCTTTATGGAAAAGAAACATAAAAGAAGCATTAACCTAGATCCAGAGAATGTCCTTGCACAGGGTTTTTCCTTGTTGGTAATAGGTAGGACCTTGGTTTCCCTTGGTATGTTTGCACATTCTTGTCCTTGCAAACAAACAAACAAACAAAAACCCATGTTTCCATTTGATGCAGTTTAAACCTTCAGCAAAGACAGTGGGGGAAGAGGGAGAGTTAAAAGGAAAGCTTGGACATGGAAATGTAAAACAGCAAGTAACTACAGTGAAACATGAATACTATTAAAAGTATAAGGTATCACTGCCTATGAACATAAAAAAGAAAACACCACAACTTTTCAGCCTGCTGAAATTGTGCAGCTGATGTCTTCTTGTGTGTCTTTTTCTTTCTCAACAGGGTGGAATTCCAGAACAAATTCTACATGGGTACAGGGTTCAAGTTTCTTCCTTTCTCGTTTGACAGCATCCGTGACGGGCGGTTTGATGAATAATCTTCTTGGAGACCTACTCTGGCAGCAAACCTCAACTCCTTCCTACATGTATATGTTTCTCTCTGTGTGTTGAGTTTACCTGCATGATAGTCTGACGTTCTGCAGCAATCCTGTTGTGGCCACAAACTGCTAGTGTGATAGTGAATTGCTTTGCTTTGAGCACTTTAGTGATGGGAGAAAAAGAATAAAAGGGAACCTAGAAGAATTTAGGAGTGCTACTGCAAATATGCAGTGTAGTCTTGGCAGCTGTTTGGGTGGGGCATTGTCCTGCAGGTTGCATAGATAGAGAATGAAAGGGGTTATCATGGAAGAGGACATTTGATGGTTGTTGCCATCAGTTTCATAACAGGCATGCTAGCAATTCCGTCTGGTAGCTGGAAGCAATCCAGATTTCTAGCCCTGTGTGTTCCTTTGAAGTGAGTTGAGGGTAAGCATTTCTTTTGCATACATCTTTTCTTAATGGAAGTGCCATTCACCCATTTCTTGTACACTTGTCTCTCCTGAACTCTAAAATAGCACTCTGGATTTCTTTCTACAAGGCCAGATTGTTTTCTTTGATCTAAAAGATAGCCATATACCACTTCAACATGTTGCTCACAGTGGTGTTTTCCCACAAAAGCACCTCCACTATTCCTTTCCTGAGTTGAATCACTATCATAAAGTTGGCCTTCCAAATCATCACCATTCACAAAGCAGCATTTAGAAGGGAAAATGCTCCACAGTGGCTCCACACATTCCCAGCCCTATAACCTCTGAGCAGAACATTAGCTCCCATTCCATCCCCTTCCCTTTGCTCTTGCTCTCCCGTTCTGAAAATAAAATTATTCCCTTTCTACCTCAATGCAATGTTTGTGTGTATATGGGGCAGGGGAAGCCTTTAGGAAACTTTGACTGAAAGCAAATGGTTCTTTGGATGAGGTGACCCTGAATAACACTGTAATTTGGCAACGTTGGAATTTGAACTTCCCTAGAAGAGAACAAGGCAGAGGGAGAGGAAGAGGTGAGCTGGCTGGCTTGAGTGCTTGTCCTGTTGTGGAGCCAACCTGTGCTTGGCTCCATGGTATTTGCTAATAAGGAAATTTTACTCACCCCTTCTGAAACCTAAATAGCTTGTTTTGTTCCAGCGAACTTTAAGGGTCTTTTGCCTCCAAGATGCTGTCATGTAATGCCATTATCCGTACTTGATGGAGAGGGAAAAGTTTTTTTTGCCATTGAGCTGCTCCTGCCACACCCCAGTTGTTGCTCAGCAATTGCAAAATAAGCTATCATGCACTAGCACTTGTGTGTATAGGAAGGACTTCCTTTGGAAAATAGGAATCTGCTGAGGGTAACCTCTGCTTTCTTTTTGTGCCAGTTGTGGTGTAGAAGAGACACAGGGCTTTCTGTGGCACTGTTAGATGTGTATTTATGAAGTGTGTGTATGTGTGTAGTAAGAAATATAAATGTGCACTTTTCTATAGGTGTCTAATTAAAAAAACCTTGGAACAATGCTGTTAAATTTAAAAGAGGAGCCCAGATCAAATGTGATAATTTTATGGGAAAGTGATAACACATAACTTACTGTTGAATACAGATTGAATTCCAACTGCTGTGAGGTGTTTTTGTGTTTGATTGTGATAACAGAATAGCCTGTCTACTTGTTGATGTTTGGAATACTAGCATGCAAAAAAGTATTTTCCTGGCTGTCCTCATCAGCCAGTCACTGTGTCTATTAAATCCATTGATGTAACCTCTAGTGTGTTCTGTTCTCGAATATTCTTGGCCATTGGAGTAGAGAAACATACGTAGAATGCCATGAACAAGTCTGTTCTGCATCCAGTCCAATGCCTAAGTTCTGGCACATTGCTTTTCGCAATCAGCTGAATACATTTTGCATTTTTCCTTCTGTGTTTTTGCTTTCTTGGAGAAGGCACTGAGTTGTGTGAAGTCCTGCCTTGACTACTGGAAACATGAAGCTGGTGCAGCTGCCTCTCTGGCTTGAGATATCAGCATGCCTTTGAAGTTACAAGAACAGGAAACTTGATATTAGAAAAAGAAGAACTTCTGATTCTCAAGAAGTTGAATTCTTGCCCAGAACCATGTTCTTTGTTTCCATAGTGTGATAACAGAATAGCAACCAGTCCTGCGCCCACAGAACCAGTCCTGCTACTTCCTGTGGCTCATGATGATCACACTTGTTTTCCATGGTGTTCTCACCAATTTAGGATTGCTAGAAAAAGTTCCAGAGTTTATTTGTTTATTTATTTATTTACAAGATTTTTTTTAGCTGCGCCATTACCAGTGGTCTCTGAGCGGCATACAACAATATCAAAACTTAAAATCATTAAAAACATTAAAATAGGTAATATTATAATAATATCCTATATTAAAAACAATCATTAAAACATTTATATTAATAAATCCTGCTGCTCGTATGGCTAGCTAAAGAATACTATTTAATTAAAATGCTGGCTAAACAGAAAGGTCTTTGCCTGGCGCCAAAAAGCCAAAAGTGTTGGAGCCAGGCAGATCACTATAGGGAGGGCGTTCCAAAGTTGGGGGGGCAACAGCTGAGAAGGCCCTGTTTTGACATGCTGTCCCCCTCATCTCTTTCAGGGATGGCACCTTCAGAAGGGCCTCCTGGCCTGATCTTAAGAGGACAGGCAGGCTCATATGGAGGAAGGTGGTCCTTTAGGTAACCAGCTCCTAAGCTGTTTAGGGCTTTATATGTCAAAATAAGCACTTTGAATTGGGCCCGAGCAACAACCAGCAGCCATTGTAAATTTTTCAGAACCGGCGTGATATAAGTCTGTGCAGTGGTACCACTTACCAGCCGTGCACCTCTGTTCTGTGCCAGTTGCAGTCGCTGAACTGTCTTCAAGGGCTGCCCCATGTATATTTTATTTATTTAATTTATATGCCGCCCACTGTACCCAGAGGTCTCTGGGCGGCTTACAACAATTAAAATTCAATACAATAAGAGATAAAATGATTAAAATACAATTAAAATACAATTAAAATTGCCATCAGGACCCACAGTTGATGTTATTTCAATTAAAAGCCTTCTGGAACAGGAAGGTTTTGACCTGGCACCGAAATGTCATCAACGCTGGCGCCAGATGAATTTTAGTCAGTATAGCGCATTGCAGTAGTCCAGTCTGGTTGTTACCAGTGCATGTGAACAGTTAGGCTCCACTCATCCAGATAAGGGCGAAGTTGATATGTTCTCCGTAGCTGTAAGAGGCACCCCTGGACACAGAGTCCACTTGGGCTTCCAACGCCATACCCAGGTAAAGGAGCCACCCCAAGCTGCGGACCCGGCCCTTTCGGGGGAGTGTAACCACATCTAAGGGAGGGAAATGGCCCTTTAATGGTTATCTGTCAGAGCACCTAGCAGCAGCCTACCAGCAGCACTTCTGACTTGTCTGGATTGAGCCTCAGTTTATTGACCCTCATCCAGTCCATTATCGAGTCCAGGCACGAGTTTAGAGCGGCGACTGCCACACCTGGATTGGTAGAGAATGAGAGGTAGAACTGGGAGTTATCAGCATATTGCTGACTCCTCAGCCCAGATCTCCTAACGACCTCCCCCAGCGGTTTCATGTAGATATTGAACAGCATGGGGGACAGTATAGAGCTCTGAGGAACCCCAAGATGCAGCCGCTGTGGATCAGAGCTACTGTCCCCAGCACCACCTTCTGGACTCGATCAGCCAGGTAGGAGCGGATCCATCATAAAATGGTGCCTCCCATTCCCATCCCAGCCAATCTGTCCAGAAGGACACCATGGTCGATAGTGTCGAAAGCCGCTGAGAGGTCCAGGAGAATCAACAGGGATACATTCCCCCCGTCTTTCAACCGATAAAGGTTGTCAGACAGGGCAACCAAGGCAGTCTCTGTCCCATAACCTGGGCTGAAACCTGATTGAAATGGATCTAGATAATCCGTTTCACCCAGGAAAGCCTGGAGCTGCTCGGTCAGTTTGTGTCCTTCTCTGTGAAGCAGGTGGAAGACGTGCCTGTTATTAATTCAGCTCTGTTTTGTACAATTTTTCTTAACAGCTTGTGTTTCTTTGCTGTGGGAGGGGAAGGGGAAGTAATCCTTTATCTCACAGCTGCTCTGCAGTATCTTCTAACACAGACATGTTTCCTTTCACATTGCAACCAGCAGTACACATAGCCTGTCTTCCCAGCTTTTTGAGAGGTTTTCAGTTCTAACTTTATATAGCTCTAGGAGGGTCAGACTGGTCCTACCACCCACTTCGCCCCTCCAGAGTGACATAAATGGGAGAGGCAGAACTCTGAGGCTGACAGATCCCATTTCCCCTTTCCACAGATGTTCCTTGGTTGCTTTGAATGCTCTCCAGCAAAAGATTCCCACTGAACCCACTTGATCTTGGAGATTTGACTTTTCACTTTCTTCCTAAACTCCAGTCATCCTTAGGAAAAGCTGCTGCTGTTGATCCAAAGGTGTTTCTCTGTGTGGTTTCAGGTAGAGACAGATGTTTGTCTCAAATGTCAGTGTTGGACTATGCCTAGCCAAAGAGCTTTCCACACAGCAGCAGCCCACATGTGCTTAACAGTGTGCAAGGACTTTTTTGTATGATGTTGCTGTGGGACAAAGTAATGGTGGGGATTTAGTTAGGAAGCAGAATAAATTTGGAAGGAAGAACACAGTTTAAAAAAAATACTCTTGGTACCTTAGACATTTATTTAAGCATGGGCTTGCTCTTTGAACCGGACTGATTGTGCTGCAAAAGAAAGCCAGTATATATCAAGGGCAGGAAAAGCTTTACTTAAGGAAGCATTCTGGAATTAAATGATCTTCAAATCTCATCCTCTGCTCCGGCTCCAGGATGGTTTTTCTGGTGTGATGTCAGGGTCACTGTCCTATGAAGATGGTGCTATGCTTCAGCCTGTAGAGGAATGAAAAGAGGGGTTGTCCCTGCAGCCTGTGGCCACTTCCCAACCATCAGAAGAATCTCCGTGGGCTGGAAAAGGAGTGGAGCAGTTTGTACTATGCTGTTTTTTTGGAAGAGTTTTGCAATGCCGGGCTCCTTGCCGTTGGATCTGTTACATATTGCTTGGGGAAAAGAGCCATGGAGTGTGTGGGAGGAGGGGGTGGATGGCATTGGCATAGACCTAGTTCTCACAAAACAGCAGCTGCCAGGGCAACCCTGTCTTGGGGTTGTACCCACTTCAGCTGGAGATAAATATGGTGGAATGTTCCTGGCATACAGTCAGAGTTCCCTTCCAAACACTGAAGCTGCCATATGAAACGCGCACGCACGCACACATACACACACTCACACCAACTAAATACTTATCCCTAACATAGCTTCTTTCAAGACATGACAATTACCTTAATTAGCAGGTAGTGTATTTGTATTCTCCATGCAAAACATGTGCTGTCAGATCACATCCAACTTAAGCCTTTTTAAGAAGTGTGAGATTTAAAAGTGACATTTCTCAGTGAGTTTCCATGGCTAAGTGGGGATTGAACCCTCACTCCTGAGCTCTAATCCAGCACACTATTCACTACACCATAGTGGTTTACCATAGTTTATAGTTGCACTGTGATGTACCTCTTCATAGGTGGAAACTATGGTGCGACTCAGTCACACTGTCTCTTTCAGACAGAGCAAATGCTGCAACATTCTGTTTCAACTACTCCCTCCCTGCTCTGGAATTCAGTTTGACAGAACACAAGTTGTGCAAGTCCACTTATATCAGAGTCTCAGTTTATGTTGGTTTTTGAGTTAATGCCAAACCTCTTTATCCACATTGTGGAAGGAAATATGTCTCGAAAAGAGTATGGTATTGTTGAGCCCATTCTCTAGTTTATTTCAGGCTTAGGATGTTGG